TCTGTTTGATCCAGGATAAAGAGGATGACGTTAAGGTGGGAGTAAAATCCACAGCGCTAATGTTCCAGGAGCAAACCAAACTTTGGCTGAGTGGTTTCACGGTGGCCATGATGTCGGGGCTTATCGTAGCTGGAGTCAACGCTGAGCAGACCCTTCCTTACTATGTTGCTTTAAGCGCTGTGGCCGTTCACCTTGGACGCCAGGTGAGGAATTTATGTTATAGTTCTGCTCTGTAACATAAATGCTAAGCATTGATTTTTTTTTTTATTCATACATTTACTTTTTCTGTCTCCTAGATTTACACTGTGGACATCAACAAAGCTGAAGATTGCTGGAAACAGTTCAGCTCAAACAGAAACCTTGGACTTCTACTGTTTTTAGGAATACTTGTCGGTAATTTGTTGAAAGGATCTAAAGAGTCGTGACTGTAAAATAATAGAAATACTTAGATAAATGAGATAGTATGCACTTATTTTACGATCAAAAACCTATTTTTATATTGTACTATCAAGGATGCTTATTCATAAATCACTTGGACTTCTTGCTTTTTGTTTGACTCTAAATGAATAAAATGTGGGTTTAACAAGGTTTTATTTATTTATTCCATCATACTCTATGTACAGGAAGAAAATAACTCAAAGAGAGTAAAGATATAAAGCAAGATTCTCAGCTTCTTAACTGATTTCCATCTGTAGTTCTTGCGGCGTGTAAGAAGGGGACAAAAACTGAGATAAAAAAGACAGAGCTGTGTGTATCAGCTCTTGATTTGCTGCGGTCTACGTTCCTACCTTCACCTGTGGTCATCTTGAAATCCGGGTCCTGACAAGAAGACTGAGATCCCAGATACAAGGTGCTGAAATGAGCTTCCCAATGTGACCCTCTTACAGATTTTTCCCTGTTTTTAAACTTCATTGTGCTGCATGTTCAGCTGAGCTGCTTGTATAATTATAATCCTGCATCTTTCGTGACAAATAGCAATCACTCGGCTGCAGAGCGTTGTTATGGAACACTGGAACAAAATGTAAACTGATGTAAAGAGTTCATGCTAAAACATGATGTCCTGGAACAACTTTTTGTTGCTCTAGTTTTATTTTAATTGCTCTCACGTGTTACACAACACAAGAGATTGTAATTTCATCCCTAATTGATGTTACAGAATGCTGCTCAGGTTCAGATCAGACCTGAGCTCATGAGTATCAATAAAGAGAATAAGAATAGTTTGAATAGTACAAGTGTGTCTGTATATATAAATATATATATTATATATGCAGCCATGTTGCTTTTTTTTTTCAACTGAAAGGCGAGTACCAACCTGCTGCTCCTTTTGCAAAGCCCAGTTTAAATATGTGCTTGACTCACTGATGTGCTGGAACACATAATTCTTCAAAAAAAAAAAAAAGACGAAGTTCAAAGACCAAAATTAATATATCATTTATAGGGCTAAAACTGATATTAACCAAATTAATAAATTATTGAAATAATCGTCAACTAATTGAGTAATTGATTAATCATTACCTTGAGTAAAGAGACTCTAAAACATGCTTTTAGCTGACAGAGCAACCCACTTAGAGCAGCAATTGTACAAAAAAAAAATTGCATTTAAGATGTATATTAAAAAAAAGTGGGAAAGTTTGTTTCACCTGGTTTAATTTCCTACAAGTCTTCTTTGGCTATTCTATTATTATCCGATTATTGCTTTGTACTTGTGACAGTTTAATGAGAATAAAGTTGAATTCTATTTTTTCTACTCTATTCTATTAATCAAAAACATCAACAGATTAATCAGTTTGCAAAATAGTTGCAACCTTGCATTTAGAAAGAATACAATAGAATAGAAAATCCCTTTATTCTCCCACAATGGGGAAATTTATGCCAACTTTATTCATAAACAGCAAAAACATTCATAACAGTAAAACACAAACAAATGAAGAAGACACAAAGAAAGGTTATGCTGGTTATTATTTTTTTCCAGGATGAATAAGCATTGCTGAACCAGTTCTAGTCGGGAACAATCAATCATGAGTCAGCTCTGACAAGAAAGAGGTGACCTTGTTTTAAGTTAGGGAACGGTTTGTCCATGAGCTTGACTCATGTCAGGAGCAGTTATTAGACAATAACAGAAACCAGGAAGTTGGATACCTTTCCTATTTTCTAGGAAATTTGATTGATTGCTCAAAACCTCCTCCTTGCAGAGAGCAGTTGAGGTTAAACCAGGTTGGATTGCTAGTTTCAGCACATATTTTGAACGCTTGCTGATTTCTCTGCGTGCATAAGATGATTAAAGTAGCTGATAAAAACAAATCAATATGAATGAGGTGTAAAGAAGATGGTTTACTTCTTATTTTGTGTCATTTATACCAGAGTTTGTGATGATACTTCATATCTTTCACTCAGAGAAATTAATAAGATGTTGAATATAGTCTTGATGGTTAACATACATTTATCCTCTGAATAAACACTAACAAGATTATATATTCCACATATACCACTTCATTGATGTTTACATCACAGTGTTTATAGATGTTTACTGTAAAATAATAATTAAAAAAAAGGAGGACCTTGCTAAAAATAACATAATCCTCTTACATTGGTCTAGCATCTTTTTGCTTTCTGTGCTGACTGAAGGCAAATTAGTAAATAAACAAAACAGAAATGATGCAAAAGCCGAATGACAATCTGCTGATATGTAATAAACCATCACTTCTAAATCACATATGAAATTTGTTTTTGTTTTTATGCAAAAAAACAACAACAAAAAAACAGCAAAGGCATGTTTTTGAGATAAAGTAGAGCTACCCTATAGTGCATTTGCTCTATTTTTGTCCAAGGGGGAAACTTTGAACCATATGGTTAAAATTTGATCTTAAGTGATGTTTTCCAGCAGGAAAATGATCCAACGAAAAAAAAAAAACTGCCTTTGGAATCAATGAAGTAACCCCATTATCCTCAAAAGTTTGTCTTCTACCTGGAAACATGCAGTTTTCAAACCAGAAATGTAGTTGAACATTAATTAGATACACTTAAAGGTATGGTGGAGGATTTTCGTGAATAAAAAAAAGAAAAAGAGCTACCCTCTCCAGTTTAAAAAAAATGCACAGGCACAGCCCTGGACCTGCTCTTGATAGGGAATACCTATTAAACGTGTGTGAGAGCATGGACAAGCCCATTTCTCCTTGTGCACACTCTGTTTAAAAGTTGCTGTTTGCATCGTTCATATAAGCTCACTTTGCAAAAGACGATTTGCAATTTTCCACAAAGTCAGACTCACCACCGGTAAGTGAAAATGAGGACGAGCACGTAGGACGGCCTTATGTAAACATATCACCAGAATGATTGACAATTAGGAGGACCATTTACTTTGATGATCCACCTGAAAAAAGAACGTCCTCCACTATATCTTTACGTTGGACCACTGTGACCATTGATTGTTAGTAGTAATAGTAGTAGAAGTAGTACTACAAAATAAAGCAAAAAAATAAATAAAATGGGCAATCTTTTGACAAAGTGTCATTTCGTGAGGCTGCTTATTTCTTTCTGGAGAAACTGATTAAATAAAAAAACAAATGACATGTTAAAAAAATGTTAAGTGTTGGAGTTGGGTGACACGTGAACAAATTTAAATATTTTGCAGAAATCCTTCTCAAGTTCTGATATAATGGGAGCTTAAAATCTAGAAGATCTTCCTGCCCTGAGTTTAAAAGGCACCAGTAAAGCAATATGGAGGAAGTCTTGTTTGAGATGATTCTTTGGTGCCCTGATTAAATGAGCAAAATGATTTACTTGTAATTATAAATTATTAAAAGGAAAAAAAAATAAAAAAAAGGAGCTGAAAATAAAAATATACTATTCTACTATCACAAACATTGGAGACTTAACGATGATTAATGAAGAAACGCTTTACCTTTGTTGGCATGTTGGTGTAAAGTAAACAGGTTTTTACATGCTGTCGTTAACACCAAGTCCCCAACATCTGTTACAATGTTTGATGTTGAAATTCCAGCTAATAATACATTTCCCCTATTTTTCCAATAATGATGAAATGCAAAAGAGATTTACCAGCTATTATTGTTGGATCTTGTTGCTGCATCCTGTCACAGTTTGCCCTGCCCCTTTGCAGCTGTACAGTAACATAAAAAGTTAAGCTTAAACTAGTTAGTGATGGAATCTCTCCTGAGCCAGAGACAGGTACATGAAAGCATAGTGGAGGATGTGTCAGCCTGTGGGTCTGCTTTCCTGTCTTAAGAATTTTAGATTGTTGTATATTCCTATAACTTTAAAGGTTCGGTAATTAAAAATGTTACGAACCTTAAAATAAAATAAGTTGAGAAAGATTTAAGAGAGGATTAATAGAAAAAAAGCAAGTAGGTTCTGATATAAACACTAAAGATGTGCAAACCTTACACTTAAATCACAATAGAATTACTTTGTTTGTGAACATTTTTAATTTGTTTGAAAAGTAGCAAAAGGTGGCTTAGAGAAGTATTTCTTTATTTTCATGAGCAGGTGGGTGTTGGGAGTTATAAAACCTTATTGCGCAGCATCAGAGCGCGCGCATCAAAGTCCGACCTTAAGGCTTTAAAATAAGGTTTAAAGATCGATTTAACGACACGTTTCCTTTTTGTTCTTCTTTTGGTCAAAGGGGGCTGGCGCGTCAAAAACTTGGGCCGCGGTTTTGCTGGGGCTCGTCGCTTCGTCACGGAGCCTCTCCGCGCCCATTGGTCCGCTGTTGTGCAACTGTGCAATGGTATAAATGTGCCGTTTGAAAGAGTTAGTAATAGGCGATCTCCGCGCACAGTGGAGGGAAGGGGGTCACTGTTTTTTTTTTCCAGCCATCCTCGCCCTGCACAGTGATCTAGAAATGCAGAGCTGCGCTAAGTCGTGGAGTTTCTTTGTGTCCAAGTCGGTGAGTCGGTGCGCACCGTGCAGGCGGAGCAGCTCTGCTTGGAAAGCTCAGAGCAGGATCCGGCTCCAGCGCAGCTCAGCGTCCCTAACAACAGCAGGAGCAGCAGCCCGGGGTCTCTCTACCTCTGCAGCCGCCTCCTCCAGGCAGATAGAGCGCATTTTACCCAGACACGATGACTTTGCAGAGAGGCACATCGGTCCAGGTGAGAGGGAGAAGAGAGAAATGCTGGATGTTTTGGGACTCGAGGTAAGATTATTATTATTTTTTTCATTCATCCTGCTTTATACAGTTTAACTTAAACTCATCTAAGAACAGGAAATTCTTTTATTGCTTTTGATTGATTGAAATGCTTTTTTTTCACAGTCAGTCGACCAGTTGATAGAAAACACAGTTCCATCCTCCATCCGAATTCAGCGCAGTTTGAAGATGGACGATCCAATTTGTAAGTTTAGATAAATTTTTGCACTGATCAAATGAAATCCTCCGACATTTTTAACCTTTAAAAAGCAAAAGCAAACTTAAATAAAGTGGGGGTAGGGAGACTGTGGTCCTCTTTGTCTCCCTCAGCAGCTGGTATTGTGCTCGGCTGTCTCTCCTCATCCAGCCTGCGCTCAATGAAGCCAAGTTTGTGGCTGAAATGTAGGTTGCAGCTCCATTGTGCGCCGCGGAGCGCTCTCCCCGTTAAGTCTTCCTTTGAACATATTAGGAGTTGTTTTTGCGAAGCAGCACCAATCTCCTGATGGGAAGCCGATGCTCATAGGATGGCAACTGGAGTGTAAAGTTTAGCCCTGAGCTCCGGTCCCACGTCCAGTTCAATCTGGTTGCAGCCTTCACATTACATCACATTCCTAATAAGGTGACTTTACTGGGATCTGCATTACAGACTGACCTCAATATCTCTTCTGCTCAGCGTTTCTACATCAGGATGCAGCTCATTTCCAAAAGTTTATTTTGTAAGGAAACAGAAGAATATAAAGAGAAATTCAAGACATGATTCAAGAATAAACAGCTTCATCTATTGTTTACTAAGCCACTGTCTTTTATACTGATGAACATTAAGCCTGCTTTCATAAAAGAAGGCAATTTCATATAGATATATATACACAGAAACATTATTTTAACATTAATTTGCAAAAAAAAACATTTATTTTTTATTTTACAGGGAGTCACTGATTGAATTTCTGTAACTGAGTCAGTAGCCATCAAAATTATGTCACAACAAAAAGCTTAGATTAAAAAAAGGCTCGTTACAAATATTGAAAGCATAAGATACATACCTGTATGTATAATGTTTGGTCATATGGATAAAAGAAGATTGAGCTACTTGGACAATATTCAAGCCAATTAGGTAGGCTTTCAATCATGAGCATAGCTGTTAAGTACGGTAATGGTGGCATCATGTTATGGAGATCTGTCAGAGCAAATAGATACAAAAAAAGATAGAATTTGCAAATATTGAAATGTTTAAAAGAAAAACTTTGAATTTCTGACACAACTATTGAAATTATATGTGATCATGGTTAGTTTGATTTGATTGCTAATGAGGTTTTCTCAGGTTATAAGACTTTATTTTTTATTCGCCATAGATACCACACTATCAAGTTTTTCCAAATAAAATTACCAACTGATTTGAGTTAGAAATATAATAAAAATCAGCTGTTTCTGAAAAAAAAAAAATCAGGATGATTATAGTTATCTATAATGTTTTTATACATAGAGGTCTGCCAAAGTAATATAATTAAAAGACATAATTTCAAGAGCTCATTAGAGAAACATTAAGCCACATTAGTGAGTGTCACCTTTTTGTTTTAAACCATAGATATTTCTGAACCAATAAATGCATCTTCCTAGTAGGCAAAGATAATGTGCAGTGTGCTCCTTTTAGCCAGCTGACATGGAGTGCACAGAAACAGGTGGGGGAGGGGTGGTGTTTTGTAACTCATTGTTTCACACAGCTGGAAGCTAACCCTCCCAATTTTCTTTTGTTTGGTGTTAGAAGTACTATTAATCTTAAGAACAGTAACACAGGAAATCTTACACATTATTATACTTTAGTGCAATTTTATATCAAGCCTTCTATATGTATTGTTTTTTGTTGCTTTTTTAAAATGTTGACTCTTTTACTTTTCCCCCCTCAGCTGAGACAGAATTATATATTAAGGGGAAAAGTGCTTTAACAATTTTAATTAAAGATTTACTTGGTATGAATTAATTTATTTAAGCTTATGGATTCCTTTTTTAAAGTTTTTCTGAATGACCCAGTCACTCCGATCTGGCCTTGTGCTGACCCATGCTGACTCTGTCAAGTTTCATAAAGCGGTAAACCATGCTGAAAGAATAAACTAGAGGTTCTGCTGGTTTTTCTGCTTGTTCAGCTTTGAAGGGCTTTTCCTTTGCAAAGCCAGCTAGGGATTCTCTGTCCAACAATAGACCTCCTGGATGGTCCTGAATCAGAATTTTTTCCCTCCTGCCCTGCAGAACTCTAGTTCATGGGAAAGTATGGTAGTTTTTCTTGACAAAATAGACTAGCATCCACATATTTAGCAAATTTAGTTCCATATTCTTATATTGACACATCATTTTCAGATCTATGTTTGTTGTTGTACATCTACAAACATTAATGTGCACCTTTTTGATAAGAAAATGGCTGCACACATCCAGTTGTTCATTCTCACCACTGTGGACCATGGGTAAAGTTTCTTCTCCTAAAAGCAGGAGTAATCAGGACTTTTGTCCATTTTTTGTTGTTGCTAGGCAGCTGGGAAGGCCAGAGGAATCTGAAGCTGGGTGTGTGCTGGCAGACATTTTGACAAGAACTGAGAAAAAGGAATCCCCAGATGCTTTTTTTTGTTGCATGATAATTTGCTGCATTTAAGACAGATCAGGGTGGGTCGCTATTATTATAAATAAAAACATTATCTTGAGTTTCAGCAGCATTGCTACTATGATAGAAACTGTATGCATGGTGGACCGTATCTTGGGATCTCTGAGTCAAAGTTAGTCTATTTGGTTTTCTCTTAACATCTAGAACAGTTCGAAAGTGTTTAAAAAGTCACACAGAGCCTTATAGTATTTTATCGGGCTTTAATGTGATTGAGCAGCACAAAGACATCCAGCATTTTTAATTAAAAGGAGAAAGATGCTTTTTTTCCTTATCCTTATGTATAACATAATTTCTGAAAAGTGTGGCGTATATGTATCTTTGGTCATCTTACATCTATAAATTAATGTTTTTGCTTTCTCTTTTAAAAAATAGCTCCACCATAGCTAGATTGGATAGTGAGCCTCTAAAGAGGATAGACCCGTATCCAACGCACACATAGTTAAAATCAGATATTCACATAATATTCATCCATTCAAACTGACATTGAAACCTTTTCCCTGTTTAGCTCGTCCAGTTCTGGCAATTTTGCTAAATCCCAGAGTTTTTTGTCATATTCTTAAAACTCAGAGAAACAAATCCCCATAAAATATATAGAAGTTTGTTGTTACAATATGTTGTAAAACTTTAAAGGAGTTTTAATACTTTTGGAGGCCACTGTAAATTGTTTAACTTGTGGTTAAATTTTCCTAATCTAAACTTTGTGGACTTCTACTCATGAACCTACTGTATCATCATCCTCATCATGTGAAGCAGTCAGTCTTTCACATGGGACACGAAGTGCTTTTAATCAGATCTTAATGCAAGACTTGATTGCATTTGCCGGGGGTTTGATGTTCAGTCTTTCTACTTAGATGTTTCAAATATAGTTAATTAAATGTACTACTATTCATCTTTTGGTAGATCAATTTCTTTAAATAATTCAAATATATAATCGTAATAGTAAATGATATTCCATGTAATAAGTATATATTTGGAAAAATATGTAATGGCTGCTTTTTTCATTTTTTTTTTCTAGGTGAAAATGAGATTCTGGAGGCTTTGCAGAAGATTGCTGCAAAGAACAAAGTTTGGAGGTCCTATATCGGAATGGGCTACTACAACTGCTCTGTACCGCCACCCATCCAGCGCAATCTCCTGGAGAATGCAGGCTGGTGAGGGTCCTTAGCTAAAACTTGATCTAAATCGTGAAAGTCGCGTGAGGCTGTTATCTTGTCATGCAAAGCCAATTGGTTTATGAGTTTTGGTTCCGTGCTTTAAGCTTAATGATTGCAGCGTGCAACGTGCCTTTAATCTGAGGCCTTGTGATTTGTCTCAAGTAAAAATAGATGATGCACGTCTGTCCAGCTTTCTGCTAGACAAGATTCTCTTTCAACCAAATCCAAGCCAGCCATCCCTGTCCATGTTTTATCTGAACTCCCCTGTCCATGAGGAGATGTACAATGCATTCCACAGGCCGTCCTGCACCCGTGATTAACAACAACTTTGGCCTATTGTTCTCGTGTCCGAACTGGTTCACTTGATTGACTGCGAGTTTTTTTGTCCTCAGGGTGACTCAGTACACGCCTTACCAGCCAGAGGTCTCTCAGGGCCGCCTGGAGTCCCTTCTCAATTATCAGACCATGATCTGTGACATCACAGGCATGCCTGTGGCCAACGCTTCACTGCTGGATGAGGGGACAGCCGCTGCAGAGGCCATGCAGCTCTGCCACAGGTATAAAAACTCCAACCTGTTGGAAACCTTAAATATCTCAGATTAAGGATTCCCTCTGTGAGTAGTGTGTAGGCTTTGATGCATATTAAAAATACCATGTGGTTGAAGATTTATCTTTGGTTATTGAAGCTGCAGTCTGTTGTTTTGTTTTTCACAGACAGAACAAGAGACGAACCTTTTACATCGACCCGCGTTGCCATCCTCAAACCATTGCTGTGGTGCAGACCAGAGCTAAGTATGTCCAACAAAATTCATAGAAAAATATTTAGATCATGTGAGCAAAATCAAAAATAAGTAAAAAATAAATAAAAGAAGTGAATGAAATGTCAGGTGATGTTGCTAATCTGTAGATTACCATGAAATAAAAATTATAAATACTCTATTCTCTGTTAGTTTAGGAGTTAAACATTAAATCTACATCAAACGTTTTTTGTTTTTCTTTTGGTTTGCAGCTACATTGGAGTGAAAACAGTTCTGAAGCTGCCTCATGAGATGGACTTCAGTGGAAAGGATGTGAGCGGTGTGCTCTTCCAGTATCCAGACACTGATGGCAGAGTAGAGGACTTTACTGCCCTGGTAGACAGAGCTCACAAGGGAGGGGTAAGACAGCTTTTAGCTCAGAAACCCTCAGGTTTATTTCGTGAAACAAGTCTTTAAGTAAAACATTGTTTTTTTTTTACATCATGTGGATATAAGAGTCTATATTGGCTGTTTTTTATAATATTTTAAAAGCGAATACCACCTTAAATAGGATCATGGTCCCTATGCAAAAGGACATTTCATGTGAATATCTTTTTTATTTATTTATATATTTCATTGAATGTCTTGTTTGACAGAACATTACAGGTTTCCCTATAAAGCTTCAGTTGATGATTCCCTTCAAAATGCACCAAAGCCCACCTAAAGGGCTTTTGCTTAAGAATCCTGTTGAGTGCAAATGTTTTTTTCCATTTTTTCTCAGGCCTTGGCTTGTTGCGCCACTGATCTGCTCGCTCTCTGTGTTCTCCGTCCCCCTGGAGAGTTTGGAGTTGACGTTGCGCTAGGTAGTTCCCAGAGGTTTGGGGTTCCCCTCTGCTATGGTGGCCCACATGCTGCCTTCTTTGCAGTCAAAGACAACCTGGTCCGGATGATGCCCGGTAGAATGGTGGGAGTCACCAGGTGAGAAACAACTGGTGCAGTTTTTGAAGCGTCTGTTTTTGTTTCGGGATAAAAAAGGTTGTTCTTTAAGAATGTATTTTTTTTCCCGTTATTTCAGGGACGCCGCTGGTAAGGAGGTGTATCGTTTAGCTCTGCAGACCAGAGAGCAGCACATCCGCAGAGACAAGGCAACCAGCAACATTTGCACAGCACAAGTAAGACCCTGCTTAAGTTTAGTCAATCTTACATTAAAGTGTTTTAAAAAAACGAGCAGCAGTTGCCGCTGGTTGTTGCTATAGCTTTTGAATTGAAAGAAATTTTGCCAAAGTTTGAGCAAATAATGAACTTAATTTCTTGAAGGCTCTACTTGCGAACATGGCAGCCATGTATACACTGTATCATGGTCCACAAGGACTTAAACACATCGCTGAGAGGACTCACAATGCTGCTCTGATCCTTGCTGAAGGTACATTTTCACTGCAGAGGTTTTCAAATCTGATGCTATATGGGTTGATATGACATAATATATCACAGAATCCTTAGTTACTGGAAACTGACTAATAAAACAAGAGAAGAGATCAAGACAATGATAAAATCCACCTTAGGAAGCTTCTCTGGGTCCCCTGGGCTTCCACCTTGGGACCAACTACTCTACAGAGCACAGTGCTGGTAGTGCTATTGTGCCATTTTCATGCATTTGGAGAAGGATAGTGTTTTGCATTATTATATAAATATATGGATCTATCTAAGAAGACTGAAATTGATGCTGGAATTTTGGAAAAGCTATAGCAGACTTTTGCAAGTCAGGAAACCACTGAGGTTTGTTCTGTTACCCAATTTTACCGACATGCTTCTCTCCACTCTTTGCAACATGAAAGGACACTATCACAGAAAGAAATTTTCCCGTACAATGTGTGCAATTGGTAGAAAAAAAAGCAAAACATCAGAAAGGCAAAGAAACGCTTTATTCCCTTGATTTTCTTATTCTTTTACACAACTGTATTGAATCTGTGCTTGGGGCTGGTTAAGTGACTATAGCGTTCCAGTTACGTCCAAATACAACGTTAGGGGAGATTCTGTTTATTTTTGCATCTTGGAACTTTAGAATATATGTACTTCATCATCTACAGTTCAAGGTGTTGTGTCTTTGAGAAGGATTTATCAGCAGTAACTAGAAAATTATTACTGCGTAAGTTAATCTCTCTGCATACTAAGAGAAAAAAATTTGCTCTTTCTAGTTAAGTTATATATTTTACAGAAACTTTTAACAGATAGATTATCTAGAATGTGGGGTCCACAAGGTTATCAGAATACCCCTGTTATTTTGCATGTTTTTATATTTCCAGTTGAATAAATGGTGATTTCAGCTGTATGCATGCTCTGTATTGTTTTAAAGTTTATAGTAGGACTAATCTAAAACAAATGGTTAGGCCAAATTTAAACATTTCCCATCTTCACTTTGTTTCAGGGCTAAAGAGAGCGGGCCATCGCCTGCACAGCGACATGTTTTTCGATACCCTGAAGGTAAACTGTAGTGTGGCTGCCAAGGACATCCTGGAGAGAGCTGTGCAGAGACAGATAAACCTGCGGGTCTACTCCGAGGGAGTGGTGAGAAAAGGGCATTCTATTAAAGTGAAAAGTGGGTGATTCAAGCGGGTGGGGGTGGGGATTTCTGGTCTAAACATGCTCAAAGTATTTAGATCTACAAAAAAACCCCCCGCCAAAATGAAACAGAATTAGCCAGGAGGCAACACAACAATAGTGTTTCTAATAAAAAAAGGTGCAGTTTGCTTTCCTTATGTATCAGAACAGCAAATGCTGAAGGTTAACAACAGTCATTAATGAATTCCAATCCTTCCAGTCATGAACCTGCAAATGATTGAAAACCTGACATGACTGGCTTTGCATCAGCTTTATGAGACGATAGTGACAACAGTTCTTTCAAGCATTCTTCTCCATTAAAATAACAAAAATTATTAAGCTGGTATCAAACATGCATGAAGAGTTAAATATGGTATCATATGTCAGATTTGCTTTTATATAAGAGAAAGCATAAGTTAAACTGTTACCTTGATGTGTGCATGATTGTATTTTAACTACTAGTTTGCTTTACACACATGCATGTTGTCCATGTTTAACTGTTATTTTAATCTCTACACACAGCTGGGAGTCTCTTTGGATGAAACAGTGACTGAAAGAGACTTGGATGACTTGCTCTGGGTCTTTGGTTGTGAATCTTCAGCTGTACGTTAAACCTTGAATTTATTTGCTTCTGAAATAATAGATAATTAAGGTTGCTGTTTTATCACCTGGTTTTAATGTAAAATGTTTCATTTTAAAGGAGCTGATTGCTGAGAAGATGGGCGAGCGAGTGAAGGGGATTGTGGGAAGTCCTTTTAAAAGGACAAGCAAGTTCCTGACACACCAGGTCTTCAACAGGTTGGTCACCAGTTTCTCATCAATCCCTTTAATGGAGTAAATTACAGAAGTATTCACAGCCTCTTACCTTACCAGACTACAGGAAAATTTGAAAAACTTAATCCCAGGATGAGATATTAAACATAATCCAAGCTTTCAACATCTATTAGAGCACCATTTAATTTATTACACCAAGACAAGGAGGTCCATGTTAGAATTGTGGGTAAGGACAGTATTAATCAGAGATGCAGCCAATAGACCAGGGGTCTGCAACCTGGGGCTCGCGAGCAGCATGTGACATTGTAGGATTCACTTCTCCTGGATGAGCAGGTAGCAACATGGCTTGCAATGTGTTGTTAGTGAAAACAATTCCTCACACTGAGCATGCATCCAGCAACAGAGAGGGGGAAAAACTCCCTTTTAACAGCAAGAAACCCCCAGCAGAGCCAGGCTCAGTCTGAGTGGCCTTCAGTGGAGGTGACATACAGACATACTAAATGAACAAAGAACCACCGATCCATAAATACTTTCTGTTAGAAAAGGCTAACGGTAAACTAACTCCATAGGTGGACTAGTTTCTCAGGGAAAGAAACAGATAAGCAGACGAGGTCTGAGCCAGTTTTCATGTTAAAAGGGGTTAAATAGTGCACATACAGCTAATCACAGTAAACGCTAAATCGACAGCTATTTCCCAGAGAGACACAGGACTAAGCACTAAAAAACAGGCCTAACTCTATCATCTATAGCAAAGGTGTTACTGCCAGCAGCCCGGCCGATATTCTCTCTAGGATTGTGTCACAGACATACAGGCCAGATGAGAAAATATGAAAAAGCAGAGAGAGCATCAAGTAAGACGTTGAACTAACAAATGCTGCAGATTTGGAGAATAGAGATAGAATGAAGTAAATAGATGGAAAGTGGTCCCTATGTCCTCCAGCATTACAAGTCTTTAGCAGCATAACTATAACGTTAGCTCAGGATAACTGGAGCCAATTTAACACAGGCTCTGTCAGAAAGGAAAGTAAGCCTCATCTTAAAAGCTGACAGGGTGTCTGGTAGTTGGTTCCACTGCCTCCCATTGTACTTTTAGAAATTCGTGGAACCACAAGTAAACCTGAAGATTGAGATCAAAGTGCTCTGTTATAAGCATAAGGAATGACAAGATATCTGATATAAGATGAAGCTAGGCCAAGGCTTTATAAATGAAAAGGAGGATTTTAAATCCTTTATTTGGCAGGAAGCAAATGAAGGGAAGCTAAGATAGAAGAAATGTGATCTCTCTTTTTAATTTTCATCAGAACTCTGGTTGCAGCATTTTGGATCAGTTGAAGGGTTTTAACTACATTTTGTGGACTTCCTGATAGTAAAGAATTACAATAGTCCAGCCTTAAAGTAACAAATGCATGGACTAATTTCTCAGCATCAATCCCGGACAGGATAGTTGTAATCTTTGCAAAATATCCTGAAATGAAAGAAGGAAATTCTAGAAACCAAAATACTGCTATTATTTTTATCAGAACTTTGATGTCTTATGTTGAAGCAATTTTAATAATGGCATTTTCCCCATCTTTTCATATCAGAAGAGTATCTGGATCTCATATTTCCATCCGTGTTTGGCAAATTTAATCAGTGCAGGATTACTGAAGGAAACATTCTGTTGCTAAATGAACTGAGAGATTAAACACTCCTCTTAAATGTCTCCCTTGGTTTCTAAAAGTAGACCTTATCACCTTTATTGGAGCCATAAAGCCTGAGTCCATTTATTCTTCGACATAACTGATATGTGTTAAAATGCTTTGTCATCAACTCTAAATGGCCTGTTTGGTTTTAGTTCAGCAGCATTTTGGCTGTTTGTTACCTCATTTATATCTTTGTGTGATGTTTAAATCTATTTACTCAGTTACCACTCTGAGACCAACATTGTTCGCTACATGAAGCGGCTGGAAAACAAAGACATTTCCCTGGTGCACAGCATGATACCACTGGTTAGTCTTAAAAAACACACTGATATGTATATGAATACCTGAAATGTATTTTCTAATAGTGGATTCAAGTTTTTTTTTTTTTTTTTTTAGGGCTCCTGCACAATGAAGCTCAATAGCTCATCAGAGCTCATGGTGAGTTGATCAGAAAATGCTCTATTTTTGCCAGCGCTCCTTATAAAGATGCCTGAAGTAATTTCCTCTTCTATCACAGCTGTATAATTACACTCAGGGAAATACTGATAAATGTAACTTTGAATTTGAGTAGATTTATTCTGGGTGTAAAGATATCCTGTACTAAATAATAGTTATATTCTCAACTAAGAATTCAGTTTAAAATTACTATAATTTATGCATTTAAAAATTACTAAACTTTACGGGCTGCTCAGTGGAGCAGTGGGTAGCACCGCTGCCTTGCAGCAAGGAGGTTCTGGGTTTGATCTGCATGGAGTATGTTCTCCCTGAGCATGCGTGGGTTCTCTCTGGGTACTCCAGCTTCCTCCCACAGTCCAAAAGAGTGACTGTTAGGTTAATTGGCTTCTTTAAATCCTCCTTAGGTGTGTGTGAATGGTTGTTTGTCTCTGTGTTGCCCTGCAATGGACTGGCGACCTGTCCAGGGGTGTACCTTGCGACCCCACTAGGGATTAAGCGTGTTAGAAAATGTATGGATGGATAAACTTTATACTTTAAATGGTCCAAATATATTGTTACTATTAACATACCGGTATGTGTAATAGAGGTCAGTTTGCCTTAGCACTGTGTAGAATGGGAATGATATGAGAAAATTACATTAACGGATTTGGTTTTTGTATAAGAGATAGTATAAGTTACGCTGTTGTCATTAGTCAGTAAATTAAAATGTTACGAAGATTCTCTTAAATCTGCTTTACTGGAAGTGGATGCTTAGCATAGGGACTTCCTGACCTTCTTATCTGCTGCATAAAAGCTACACAGTTTCCCACAATTCATTGCATGACCAAATGCAAAGACACATTTCACACTGCTCCAATACGCAACAGAATACCGACAAGCAAAAACACTTTTTTTTTAACTTTTAAAAAAGAAAATCAGCTTTGATTATACTGTTATTTGTCGGATGCAGAAATGGCCAGACATGATACAAGTTTCCAGGATGTTAAGAGAAGAGCCCTCTCTATGTAAGAACTATATTAGTCAATATCAATTTAAAATAAGTTACTTTAGTAGTGAAAAACATGTGTGCTGAAATTTAAATTTGGTTAGATATTGTTTTTATGTTTAAAATCATAGAAACTATTGAGACTCAGAATTCATTTAGTTTAGATAAATAACAGGCGTATGCCGATCTGACAGCGTATGCTGTTCTGACAGAACAACGAAGCTATTTTCCTGCCTACGATTCTGATCCCACTGTTGGTGAAAGAATAGGAGCTATGGGGAAAAAATGCATGATTCAGATGAATGGTAAGAAAATGACTTTAGTGTCACATCATGCAGGAAAAAAGAAAGTCCAGGATTAGATGTTAAATCTTTCCTCTATACCCCTATCAGTTCTAAAAATATATAGATTTATTTTCCTAGAAAGGAAATAATTTTATGAAATGAATATGAAAATAATAATATTTTCACATTCATAATATTCACACTATTATGAATATTATAGAATGCTATAAAAATATATAGACATGTACTAATTATAAATTTGAAGCAGTGAGTTTAATAATGAAGAAAAAATAAATAAAACTAGGGTGGGCATTTATTATTTATAACAATAATAATGATAATTCATTAAAACTTTATAAAACTCTGACATGCCTCATTTTAAGGCTTTACCCACATCTTTAACAGAGGTGTTAATGAGCGTAGGTTGTAGTACAACTTCATCCTCTTCAATATATACGATATGAAGATTCTGCTTCCTTGTTTGATTTACTGGTTTAAAATGATTAGTTTTTTTATAGCTTTCTCATTGCGTTCTCATTCCTTAGCCCATCACCTGGCGAGAGTTTGCTAACATCCATCCCTTCGTTCCTCTGGATCAAGCTGAGGGCTACCAGAAACTTTTCAGGCAGCTGGAGAAGGATCTGTGTGAAGTGACGGGTTACGATAAGATCTCCTTCCAGCCAAACAGGTGATTTCACAGATTTTTACACAATTCATTTTTTTTATGATGTCTACACCTAAGGCAATTCATCTCAAGTTCCACAAAAAGAAACAAATCACCTATCTGGCTTATATACTGTAAAACTTTGAATAACTTTGATGGATATAGAGGATTTAAGGAGTGACGACCAGATTCTGATTTAAAAACAACATATTTCTCTCATAGTATATATTTTAAATGTTGAATATTATTCCTCAGTTTCTGGTAGTTTGTATTTATTGATATTAAGATAAAGAGATTAAAAGTTGATATCAGGTTTAACCTAAGTGTAAAACTTTGGGGTTTATTCCAATGTTTTTGAGTTGATCTTTGAAGAAAAACCTGTTATCTTTAAAATCTTGTGTATTTCTCTTAACCTCTTAACATCAACTCATTTTGGGTAATCCTCACCTATTTTGCATACCCAAATGGAAAAGCAAATGACTTAGGAACTGTAAGCCCAAATTACATGTGCAATACATTATTTGAAAGCTAACACCCTCTAGTTTCTGAATATATAAATTAAAATTGGGTGACTAGAGCACAGACCAACCTGCATCAGTTCAAACATGACTCAAAGTTGTTTTTTTTAATTCTCTGAAATGAGAAATTTTTTGAACAGCAGTAATAAAGACATTCTTGAGAAAAGGCAGGTTTTACTGTATTATATTTGTTCTATTAACCCTTTTGGGGTTTTGAACTTTTGGTGTCAGCTTGAAACTGCACGCAATGACTCTATCTGCTGGTAAGAATTTTACCGGTGGGATTTTATGTAATCTGAATTATTATCCCCACTTAAGGTCCACCGGGTCGCCAGCGACCTGGTGGGTTTTAGTAGGGTAAATGAGTTTGCAGTTGTGAGGTAAAATGCATTCTGAGTTGAGCCGATCTAAGGATGTGGGCTGCATGCACAATGAGACACTTACCAAATCCTGTCAAGTCTTGTCTTTATCACAGATAGCCTTACTGAGAGATATTGAACAGAGATTCTGCAGCCTTTTGCAATCCTTTATCTCCACATTTTCAGAGCAAACTATCTTCGAAGGCACAAATGCTCAACCTCACTAAGGACATAGAGGAGGTTTTGTTGGGGTTTCCAGAATTTAGAAGTGGAAATAATGAAATAGCTGCTCCTTTGTCCTGGCCTCAGCTCCAGTACTACCAGATAGACTGATTTAGGACAAAATGACTCTGAAATAGAATGCAACCCCACAGACTGGTGACCACCATGCACAGGTCCTAGTCTGCTATGGTTACATACAGCTCCTCTACATCCTCTATGTTAAATCATTTATTTGCTAAGTTGCTCCTATGTCTTGTTTCTTAAAACTTTAATCGGAGAATAAGAGTCAGTTGCAGCACAAGCTGTTTGGGAGAGAAGATTTGGCCCAGAATCTTTTGTTCAAATGCATTTACTCTTAAAATAACTGTCGTTTTTATCAATGTATAGACCACAAATGGATTTAGTGGTACGTCTCATATTTTCTGTCTCATCATGAATAATTTACCTTGATGGCATTACTTGCATCATTTCTAACATAGTTCTCCTTAGTTTGCAGCTATGGTAGATGGTTTTGAATATTGAATTATGTAATTAAAACCAGGACTTGTTTCTTTTTTTTATTTAGCTTTTTTATTGATACAGCTGATTTATTCACACATTATCAGTTTGAGGTCTAAATAAATCAATTCTCAGCCACTATTCTTCAGTCTTACATCAGGAGCTTCATGCTTCATGCATTTCTAGGTGACTCCTGATAAAAGTGCACACCCACCTTTCCTGTTATCAGCAGTGTTGGCCAAGAGGTTTATCATGGAGTTAGTTTTTTTCATCCTCTGTCTTTTGCTCTCTTTGTACGATAGACTGTTCTTTGGACTTTGACAGGCTTAATATTGTGAGATTCATGACCTTAGTGTGTTTGTCTTGTTTTTTCCAGTGGTGCTCAGGGGGAATACGCTGGCCTGGCTGCCATCAAAGCTTACCTAAACTCAAAGGGAGAGCACTTCAGAAGTGTAAGTGTGCTCATGGAATGAAGAATCAGTCTAATTAAATAAAACTATACAGAGAAAATCTGATCCATCTCTATGCAGCTAGAACAATGTAGTAAGATTTTTTTCAGTCACTTCTGATATCTAAATAGTTAAACATAAAAATGGCACCGCATCTTAAGGAGCTAGGCTGCATCTAAAAGTTTATTAGATAGAAGCCGCTCTGCACAGATAGAAGAATCATTCCTACCCACAGCTTACTGTGAGATTAAATACAAAAAGCTGAAACTTCATCTAATAATTTACTTCAAATTAAATAAGTCATTAAAGGAACCAAAGATTGCAAGAGTGAAACGGAAATGATTCCTCAAGGGCTGCACGCATTAAAACTAAAATAACAAAAAATCTAGAAAATAATAAAAAAATTATAATGTGTGATTACACATCTAATGATAAAATATCACGTATCACCTTTACTTTCCCTGATTATGCAGATTCACTAACGTCAACAGGTTATTATAGGACATTTTTCGAAGGTTCCTGGATTTATTATTGGCTTCTAATGCAGGTCGCTTTGACATCACAGATTAACATGATTTAGGCATGATTGCCTTCCGTATCCCAACATGCTGATTGGCTGCAGGATGTCGATAAAACACGGCCTCAGATTAAAGACCGGCTGACTCCAGGATTTCTTTCTTTTTCTTTTTTTTTTTCCTCCCGCCTTTGTTTTCAATAGCTTCCTCATAAGTACATCTTAGATAGCAGACTGATCCCTGTTAACAGTCAAGGTCCAATCTGACAACAGTGCAAACAAAGGGGCTGAAAGCGATGTGATCCAACCACAGGCCATCCACCTTCAAGATTCCATATTTGGATGTTTTAAGACTCCACCAGTTGAGTATCTGTTAACTTTGGCCGACCTACAGGTCTAAGTGCCCCACTGTTCTTTGTGACCAAGTTGCAAAATGCCAGAAGTGTCGTCCTAATAAGGAAGGAAATCAATTAGTCGCATACAGACAGGTTACTCATTAGTACCAGGGGTGAGTGCTGTGCAGCAGAAAACAAGAAGCTGTAGTTTCCCTTATGAAGCCCTCCAGTTGGAACAAAACTCTAATCTAAATGTTATTTTTTCACCTCTGATTTTGATGCATATTTAAATAGCTTTAATTCATATAATATTACAGAAATAAGTCAATTAACCAACCCTTTGTTGGCCTTCCATCCTTACAGCTTACTCTGCTTTTTGGTATTCACTTTACCATTTCCTGTTGCTTCAGGTCTGTCTCATCCCAAAATCAGCTCATGGCACCAACCCAGCCAGCGCTCAGATGGCGGGCATGAAGGTTCAGGTGGTGGAGGTCGACAAAGACGGCAACATAGATCTGGCCCATCTCAAGGCTCTGGTGAGAAACAGCCACAGTTGGAAGATAAGAGCTGCAAAGAGTGATTAAAACATTTTGCAAACATATAAAACCAACACTAAGTAACTATTAAAGCTTCAGAAAATATCTTTCAGAACTTTTGTGATTATATGTCGACTAGCAACTAGTTGAACTAACAACTTTGAGGAGAGTGGCTGTAACCCTGCCACACAAAACAACCTTAAATATGCAGACTGCTTTACCTCATATATCACTTTCCTCATTCATTATAAAGACGGAAGTCGATGCGCCTAAATATCCCTGAGAGACTGTATATTCGTGCATTTTGTGCAGGGTTGATATTCAGGCAATTTTGTGCACTTCTGTTGGGATCTATATCTGTATTTACTCTGAAAATATCAAACATAGCATTATATTTATCTGCCTCCAGTCTCTAAAGTCGTCAGCCCATCAGTTGCTGCCCCTCATGGGAAATTTTCTTTCTTCAGGCAAAACAATATAGCTTTTGTCCACTAGGGGGAGCCAAAATCGACCCAAATCAAACTTTTGTAGAACTGCTTTTAACCACTAATATTTACGCATTTTGTCACATAAAGATCACAATTTCTTTCATTTGGAGTTTATGTGATAGATCAACACAATAAATATTCAGCATATGATGTGCTGATTGAAGTTTAGGGACTGCTGTTCTTAGCAGTTAAAGCTGCAAAATATCTGAGGCATTTGCCTATCTTGAAGCATCAATTTCTGTCCACTGTTGTTTGCAGAATAGCTAAAGCTTATTTAGTTGGGATTGCAAACATGCTGTCATAGATTATCAGCTTCAATTAAGCCATTACTTTGACTAGGCCATTCTTACATATGCATAATATGCTTTGAAATCTACAGCAGCTCTAGATGTATGTTTTTGGTTGTTGACCTATTGGTAGGTAAACCTTTGCCCTGGTCTCATTTTTTATTGAATCTAATTACGCTTGCTTTTTATGCTTTTTATGATGCTTCTATCACCATGTTTCACAGTGGTGTGTTTAGACTAAGCTCCTCTATTTGTATTTTCCCACATAGAGGGTTTTACAAATAGGCCCAAAATGTTTGGTCTCATTGTGTTAATGCTTTACCTGCTCGGTCAAACCGACTTGTTTATCTGTAAAAGGTTTATAAATCATGCATTGTTATCTTTTCACTTCACTATAAAAGGTTACTTTTATTAGGCTATCAAATCCCAATGAAATGCAGAGTTTTTATTGTTAAGATACAAAAGGTGAACAACAGATGTTCAATCTGTGGAAGACTGTATGAGCACTTTGAGTGCAAAAACAAAATCGACCGGATCAGCCGGTTAAACACTAAATGAGATTTTTATAGATTCATATTTATCACAGCGACTCAGTATTTACTTGTGCGATGTTTTTTTTTTTGGGCTGTCCCAGGTGGATAAACACAAGGCCAGCCTGGCGGCCATGATGATCACGTACCCGTCCACATTTGGAGTGTTCGAGGAGAATATCCGAGACGTTTGTGAACTCATCCATGGAAACGGCGGCCAGGTGTATCTGGATGGCGCCAACATGAACGCTCAGGTTAGTTGTAATTGATTTTCTGTTGTGATGAGCAGCAGGGAACCAAACCCTTTATGATAAAGGCTGATAGGAGTCATTGTGCTGTCAATGAATAACATGTTGTCTGTGCAGATAATTATTTGAGGGACAGAAAAAATAGTGTTCTTTAGTCGTATCTTTAGAAAGTTCTGACCTTTCATCAAATTGAGTTAATTGCATAAAGGACAATGTTTTACTCTAGAACTGTCAGTCAGTTCTGTCAATTTTATCTCCCTCTTTCCTTGCAACCTAAATACCATGTAACTTATCTTTGATTCACCATTCAAACTGGAAATTCCTAGAGGACATTTCATTCAAGTGAGAAAGATTGATTAGAAAATAGCTGCAAGAAAAGGTCTAATGTTTTGAACCTCCCAGTATTTACAGTCAATGCAATGATAAAAACGTTTCAAACTGAAGTTTTGGCAGACAAAGCTGAAGGAAGACCAGGTTTACAACACCCAGGAAGAAGTTCATGAAGTCCCATCTGTTGGAGAACTGTTGGTGTTCTTTGCTGTAAGTTTCTCCTTATTGTTGCCTTTAGGTTGGTTTGTGTCGCCCTGGAGATTACGGCTCTGATGTGTCTCACCTGAACCTGCACAAAACCTTCTGCATCCCTCATGGCGGAGGAGGACCCGGCATGGGCCCCATCGGAGTGTGAGTCGCATCCGAACCTTTTCATTAGTGTCTAAGATCCCAGGGAGGGAAGGGCAGACACTTCGTCCTCTACATGCAGGACAAAAAATGTATCTGTTTTTGTATTTTATTTTACGTCTTGTTTAAAACTAAACCTGAATTCATGTTTTGACAACCAGGAAGGCACACCTGGCCCCTTTCCTTCCCAGCCACCCGGTGGTCGCCATGCATTCAGTCAACAGCAGCAGCTCACTGGGAACAATCAGCGCTGCACCATGGGGCTCCAGCGCCATTCTGCCAATCTCTTGGGCTTACATAAAGGTCAGCAGAGAATCTGAACAACCCAAACATTCAGGAAACCTTTTAAAGCACGGAACCCAAACTTTACTCCTCAAGAGTCTATCCTGCAACTTTAAGATGTCCTGAGAAAACCTGAATAAAATATATGTTGGATGAAGTAGATATACAATGGCTGCAAGACATGGGCCCTTTAGGGAATTTCATTAAAAGCCGGTTATTTGATACTTTAGGTGAAATATATTATCTGAATAAGACAGTTTTATCTTGCAAAGAAACAATAAACAAAACTAAAAAGAGACCCGGCTATCACTAAACTATTTGGGATTCTAAAGGTTACTTATGCAGCTACAGAGGAGAAATTATCTCCTAAATATTAATTAAATTATCTGAACTACTCACCTAAAGTACTTCAAGCTTACTACTCATGTAGTACTTAGATCGTCCACTAGAGGGCATAAAGCATAAGGTTTCACAAAGAAGTTTGTATTGTTTTTTTTACTGGGTAAAAACTGACTCCAGTAAATATTTATCTAAAATTGTCCTTGAAGCAACTTTATTACACGGAAAAATTATCTACAAATAAGTAAAAAAAATTCTTAAATTAAGTGTATTTATCCTTAATTTGATTAGATAAATGAGATAATTTGCCAATGGAATGAGTATTTTTACTCTTTAAATAAGATAATTAGATAACGTGCACTAGAAATGCAATTATGTTTTCTTATTTTAAATGTAAATTTTCTTGTTCCATTGGCAAAATGTGTCTTTTACCTCTTCAATCCAAGAACAAATGCACTTATTTTAAGAAAAAATGACTTAACTAGATTTTGTTTTTTTCCAGTGTACCTTTTTTAAAAGTTGTGATTGCATAGTTTTTTAAGAATGTTTTGTCTTTTTATGTTGGATTGTAATGATTTTAAAGCCATATTCTTTTTAGATCAGTTTAATTTGACAAACTGCATTCTCTCCCTGTTGTTTGTTCTGAATAGATGATGGGGTCAAAGGGACTGACTCACGCTACGGAGGTGGCCATCCTCAACGCTAACTACATGGCCAAACGGTTGGAAGGGCACTATAAAATCCTCTTTAAAGGGAGGAAAGGTAAAGCATGTCCGCGTGGAAACAAGTGGCCTCAGGACAAATTGGTTTTAAGTGGTAAACACGTTCGTCTTTGTTTTGGGCAGGTTTCGTTGCACATGAGTTTATCCTGGATGTGAGGCCATTCAAGAAGACCGCTAATATTGAGGCTGTCGATTTGGCTAAGAGGCTGCAGGACTATGGTATGATCAATTACATCTCTTTATCTTTAATTTAAAAAATGCAGAGAATTAAAGATTATTTGTTTGTGCAGGTTTCCATGCACCGACAATGTCATGGCCGGTAGCGGGTACACTCATGATCGAACCCACCGAGTCGGAGGACAAGGCTGAGATGGACCGGTTCTGTGATGCTTTGCTTGCTATCCGTCAGGAGATAGCAGACATTGAAGAGGGAAGGATGGACTCCCGCATTAACCCACTTAAGGTACGCTAGCCTGATTTAATTAAGGAATGAGATGAATAAAGTCTTAATGGTCCACAGTGTGGAAATTAATGTGTGCAAAAACGAGTGGACAAAAGAAATAAAAAATAACAGAGACAGAAATGCAAATGGCTTCTAAGTTCAGTCTCCATGCCTTTGTCTGTGTTTTCACGCTATTTTCTGTTCAGATGGCGCCTCACTCTCTGGCATGTATCTCTTCGTCAAACTGGGACAGACCTTACTCCAGGGAGTTCGCCGCCTTCCCACTGGTGAGTGTCTTCAAGGACCAATGACAAGCGGAGATTCCTGCCTATCATAAAGCATCAGCATCAGTGTATTAACCTGACACCCTGTTCTTAGGTCTTTGTTACCCAGACCTAAAACACCCCTATAAACTCACCTTAGTGTGATTTTTGGTTTGGAATTTATAACTTATTGGAAAATTACTTCTTTAACTTTAGCTCCATCTAGTGGCAAAACATGGGAAACTCCTTTAAATCATGATTAAAACCTAATCTGTTTACATTGACTTAAGACTGTTTTACCTAAATATTAGTTACATTTTCAGTCTCACTTTGCTCTCATTTTTTATCAATGAGTTTATCTATTTTACACAACCATCTTATTTGAATTATTTATTATTGGTCTTACCTGCATGCCACAGCAATGTTTTTTTTTCTCCAGTTTTATCATATACAGCACTTTGAATTGTCCTGCTATGGATATTTGCTGAATAAATTAACCTGTATCCTTTCAACCAGTGACTCACTAAACAGAGACATTGTTCATTTTTCTAACAGTTGTGTTTTTTCAGCCCAACAAGCTTGCAATACAATAATTCATTGAGATACAGCTGGTTCAGATTTGTTCATGTGAATCACAGAACAGTCTGAATTTTCAGTTCAGTTCAGTTTTGGACTTCTTATCAAATTCTTAATTTTACTGAAACTACTCTAGCTTTATCAATGCAAATAATGCCTTACTAAATTTGTCCTACTGGTCATGTTTCGGGGTCAGTAACCTTCAAACCGTTTACCTTTGCTACTGGATGTGCTGTGAGGATTTTAAAGTACTGACTTCCTAATAATAACACCCTGTTCAGGGTCACTGCAATGAAACAAACTATGATGCCAGTTATTTGCTTACCCTGGTTTTCCAGTTACCTTCATGACCATATGGGATTACAGTCCAGCAATGTGGCATACAGGCTCCTTCTACAAACATGTATGAATGGATGGATTACCCTCAGGTGTTTAGGGGAATTGGAGTATGGGACTGTTGTAGGATGCAACCTAATGCAAAACAAGGACTCAAGTCTAAGCACTGCAATAAGTTTGAACACCAGCATCCCTGCCTATAATTTGAGCCATTTGGCCACAATTACAAGAACGATGAAGCTTGCTGTTGGTAGTGTCATACTGCAGGGCTTTTTCAGGCATTAGTGCTGCTGTGCTGCACAAAAAGGATAGAAGAATAGCCCTAAATCTTCTGACTTCACCTCGGACAGACTGCTCAGTGACTGAAGCCAAAGACAGGTTAGGTTGTTCAGAGGATACTGATTCCAACCACATCAAGTCTCTTCTGAAATGGATGAAGTGAGCGAGCAATAAGCTTCTAGCCCTTTTTAAATAATATGTTTGACAATGATTAAAAGCCTACTTCAGAAGGCATTTTAAAATGAATGTATTTAAACTGTCCTGCTCTGAAATAGAGGATTCTGATTTCTAATTGCAGAAAGTTGATGAATATGGACCAAATATGGTAAAAATCGTTTGGTTGAGGTTCAACATTTAAACAAGAGTTTATCCCCGAGAAAAGAAAACAAGGATTTAACTTTGAGTCCTTCATAAAGTCTGATTTATGTTTCCCTTTTCTTTTAACAGCCCTTCATAAGACCTGAGACCAAATTCTGGCCAACCATTTCAAGGATTGACGACATCTACGGCGACCAGAACCTTGTGTGCACCTGCCCACCCATGGAGGTCTATGAGTCCCCATATGAGGAGAAGAGAGCCTCCTCGTAGATGCAGTCAGCAGCGCCGTCTCAATGTCCAGCTGATGTGGACAATAATAAAAGCTCCGACTTCCATCACTTATGAACTCATGGCAACTGTAAGCCTGAAGACAGACCTGCTTGGCAAAGGATGAAAGACTGGAACAAAACTGGCTTTTAAAGAGATGATGGGTTTAAACATCCCATCGACTGTGGTTAATTTCTTCTAACCAATCATGAACCATTCCAGAGTCTGCTCTGTTACCCCAAACATGATTGATCAACTAAAATGGATCAGAAGTAAGATCTGTTGTAGTCTAAAAATGGGACATTGGGGTGAAGGGCTGTATGACTGCGGCAGGGTTGCCTCAGACTCATCCCAACTTGAACTACTGAGAAGGACCAAAGGGTGCAGCTTGTTGCTCCCCAATTTCTCGAAGAAGAAGCTCCCCCCTCAAGCAAATGCTCTCATGACAAACTTCTGATGTCTTTTGATCTCCAACGTCTAGAATACCCCTGATCGCATTCTTCCTACGAAATGGAAATTTTACCTTATTTTTTCCAGATCCCTAAGAAACCTTGGAGATGTAGTTTGTTTTTGTGTTTTGTTAATAATGGACCCGTCTTTGTAAGCTGTTTTTAAGTGTTGTGAAAATGTCAAACTAGTAGAAGAATCTTTTTTCTAATCTAAATAGTTTTTCTATCAAAAACTTTGTCAAAAACAAATTTCTGAATTAAACGTGTTTGTCTTGTTTACCTGTTTTGAAATAAGTAGAAGATAAGCAGCTGTGCAGCAGCATGATGGCTTACATCCTTCAACCCCCCCAACACACACATTTGGAGAAAATATAATTGCCATGAAACAATTTTTTATAGCCATTTAAAAACTTCAAATATAATATAAAAGTTAATTAATCTAAAATAGTAGAGTAAAAAAAAATCTGAGCTTTTAAACCATCCAGCACTGATTTCAGTTATCCACAGTATGAGTCCTTCAAGGAAAAACACTTTCAGTTTGTAAATCTTAAAGATTAAAACTTAAGAACACATGTTTTTTTAAACATTTCTTTTACCCCCTTTTACTGCCAATAAGCATTCACTCCTATGAGTTTAGAGATTGATCACTTAAAATAAAGCAGAAAATTAGTTCTTAGCAGAGTTTCCTTACAAAGGAGAGACCTATTTCATCAAAGATGTGTGGAACTCAGTTTACCCTCAGTTAATCGTCTGCCGATAATCCTAATCTCAACTAATTAGAGTATCATCAACAAAGGATTTCCCTTCTTGCAGATTCTGCAGGTTCTTGCTTGTTTGGTTAAACTGAAATGCTTCACATCAATCAAAGTTGTTTCCAGTAAGTTAAGCCAAGATTTTAGGACTATCAGGATTTAAGTCTCTGTAAAATACAAAAACAAATAAAGTAACAATTATTTAAATTAGAAAACACGTGTTTTTCCATTTTTATTCCTAAAATAAACCATGAAAATCAGTTTTCAGGAGCGCTATTGTTTAAAGAGTCTATGGATGGATCCCATGGTCATTTTGCCACAATAAATTATCCCCAAAAGTCACGGAGAACAACATGAAACCATTTTTTTAAATGCAAGACTTAGATTCCGGGCAAACCCTGTATTTTGTCTCTTCACATTAAAATAAGGACTATAAAAGTAAAACATTTGTTTGCAACTGAGCAAAGTTTCAAATTCAGCCAATAGAATAAACACTTATCAACCACAACATATGCTGCGCTACTCAAGGAAGCCATTTTTTTAGAGAGTCATGACAAAACCAAGAAACAAACTACGTCATATTATTAAGGTGTGGTTTTTATGAAGTGTCAGACCAGATCTGTCTGCACCCATCCTCTACATGAACCGTCTACCAACGAGGAGAAATCCTATTAAAGCAAGACAAGGAGAAACATTCACAAACTAATTTCAATACATTCCTCAGAATAACTGCCCTATTACTCAGCTGAGCCAGAGTTAGCTGCAGGGTTCAACTCCGAGCCCTTCAGGCCTGTAAATACTGAGGAAAACATGGAACTTTCTGGTCTTATATGTACCATGTAAATAAAGCATGTTACAAAGTTAATAGTATTTTGCACCATTTTATTAATGCCACAAAACAAAGCCAGACAAATTAGAAATGTGATTTTGTTTTCCTAAGCCAAGTGGAGAGGCGTTCTTTATCTGGTTTGTCTGCTCAGCAGTTCAACAGCAGAAATGATGCTAAGAATGCAAAGGGCTCAGATCAGTTAACCCTGAAATTACTCATGCCGATGATGCTGATCATTTTCCAACTGTTTCTGTTTCAGCGCAAGCCCTTCGACCGTGTGACCACACATCAAAGTTATTGCATAACTCCACTCTGAACATGTGAGCAGATTGTAGAGCACATAGCAAATCCTGGTGTGGGTTTTACACTCTGGTGGGAAGGCAGCCCCCTAAGGAGCCCCAGCAGGCTGTTTGGGAAGAGCGTTTGGCTTGACCACAGCAGGGTGCAGTCCATAAAGAAGTCAGGCATTTAAAAACCAGTGTAGATATGTATCATTTTAATTTGACACATGGTTAGAGTTCACACAGTTCAAAATCATAATCTGCAGACATTCTGCAACAAAACAGGTAATCTGTACCTGTTCAAACAAACTATGTGAAGTAGCTTTGGATGTCTTAAACGAATAACACTAAATCATAGTTTTTCCAAACGTACAAATTATTTTTTTCTTTCCTTGATTGCTCCTTAATATTTCTATGAGAAAAACATTTTGATTGTCTGAACTATATTATCAAGTAAAACCCATTGAATCTAAAAAGGTCAGTTGCCCCTGCAGGTCAGATTTAAAAATTGGAATCAACTAAAAGTCTTGATTGTGGAAAAAAATTGATTGTGCAAACCCCACCTACTTCAAATTTTGAGGGAAACGGTGAAAATAAGTTTTAAGTTAACTATAAACATATAGATTTAGGACCTCACTGGCTATTTTGGAATATATTGGTGTGTTTTTTTTCCCCCAGGTGACACTTTTAACACAATCCTAAGGTGTTTTATGCATCAACAAATATACATATATAAATACATCTAAAACTTTTCTTGGGAGTAAACTGTTGTTTTAAACCCATAAGTAATTTAGATTGTCCAGAATAAACAACAAGCACAAGTTTTTAAAACCATATATGACTTGAGTTCAGATACCGTCTGTCTCCAGCAAAATAAATCCAGTAATAAAAAGGGAGTCATGGCTTAACTCACTCTCACTTAACAGTGAGAGAGCAGCTCAGGAACAGCTGAAGGTTGCCTGGTTTGAATCCTGCAGAGCACCACTCTGGGACACTAAAGCCCCTACACACAGCATGCCCAGAGTCTAGAGGTAGGTTTTGCCCAGGTTTTAGAGGTATTCCTGCTTCAGCTCAGCTAATTTTCAATGATAGATGATTGACTGGCTGAATTGCAATCATTAGAATAAGCTGTGCTGAAGCTGAGAAACTGAGGACAGCAACCCTCAATGACTGACTGGATTGAATGGACCAGCCCCCCCACCCTTTGAAACAGCCAGAGGAAGCTAACCGCTTTAGAGGAATGTAAAAAGTTACAAAGACCAAGATGATTCGATTAAACCATCCGAAGCAAACATATTGTGCGTAAAACATTATCCATCCCTCAACTGAAATGACACTAAATTGATTTTTGTCTCCTCTTCCAAGCTTAGCTGCATCATCTCAAAACGGGGGATTTAGATGTGATTTCTTAATTACTGCCATTTTGGTTTTGATCCTTTTATGAGATTTTTTGGCAGCAGGTTAGAAAAAACTGTCAAATGTTTGTCTTAAAATGAGCTATTACTGTCAGCTGATTCCTCTTCTAATCCCCATAAGATATCCAATTATTTCCTATAAGAACAACAGTGTTGATCTGTTCCACAGATGAGAATTTGCTGCAGTTCTTCAGCTCTGTCCTTTAGTTTTTGTCCTCAGCAGGCACACCCGTTTGTTTAACACAGGACAAAAAGAAAGTGGACCCCACAGTCTAAACAGCTTTCCACATGACAGCAGACTAATCATGGGTTTATTTCTAGAAATAGGACAGAACAGCCTGTGACTCTGAAAGAAGTTGAATCAACTGTTATGGTTCCAGTTTCCATCTGTACTGATTGTTTATAGGGAACACTGGTCCTGGCGGTGGCCTGGATAACATATTCTGTCCTTTCTGGTGGAGACAAAGTCATAAAAACTGCACACGTTATAATATTAGGATGAGAGGGAAAATACAGGATTCTCTTGGAAATTGGTAAGAGTATGATCTTTTTTTAAAATACAACAGAGGATGTATTAAAACAAGTGTTGAAAAACAAGACAAAAAAATACATGAACCTTTGAATATACTGTAGTAACTGTAGTCAGGGGGGGGGGGGTTGGGTTTAAGCCTCTAAATGGATAAAGCTGGAAATAAAAGACAAAAACTTCAAGAATTCAAACTAAAACAAAAGGCTTTTCTCAGATGTTCATGTTCCTGCATTCAACCTTGTAAGAATAACAAACATTATTATTATGGGTATAATCAGTTTTTGTTTCTTTTAAGACTACAAAAAACGCAAATGGCTTTAAATAAAAGAGAAGGAGAGGAGTCCGCATCCCTGTATATAAAACATGGTGCTAGCATAATGCTTTTGACTTGTTAAGCAGCACGGAGTAATATCCCTGATATTTTGCCAGTTCCATCACTAAATTTCTTCCACCTTGTCTCAGCGTTGTGTAATCAGTCAGATTTCAACAATTCAGAACAAGCAGCGATACTGCATCCTCTGGTAATCTTGATCCCATAACATCTTTCAGCAAAACATAACAACTCCCTCAAGTTGATAAAATGTTACTGGAATGATTTAGATACAGTAAAAAAAAAAACAAAAAAAAAAAAACAAATTGCAGTTTTTTTCACTTATAGACACTATAAATGTTACTTTTCTTTAAAAATGTCCATGTTTTCCATTTAGTCTGCATCAGCATACAAATAATATGAGTTTATATACATATACATAGTTTTTTTTAGGGTGAATAAAACGTTTACAAATCCTCCAAACAGATGCCTTCTGGGACATTTTTATAACGAGTCAATCCTCCAGCAGCAAGAATCCACTCCATCTTTAAAATGAGCTCAAGATAGGATTCTTGTGTAACCAAGTGACCGATTTCTCTGTCACCCTGTTGGTTGATCATCTGATGCCTCTGCAGATTTATTTGTCTGAACCAGGCGGTCGACAAGGACAACAAACACTGCTGATGTAATGAGGCAGAAGCCTGAGAAGTAGAAGGCTGACCTGAAGTCATTCGTCAGGTCCACCAACCAGCCTGAGAGGGAAACAAAGTGAAGACAGGACATTTCATATGCAGGGAAAATGCCTTTAAAGCTATTTCAGTTCAGTTGACTTTTACTCCAGGAAAATATACAGGGTGTCTTTTCACAAATATAAATAAAGCCTTATCACCACAGTTCACAGCTCCTGGATTTAGCCCTACTTTCTGCTGCAAACAACAACAAGCATGTACACCTTTAGCCCCCCCCACCCCCTTTTGCATACCCGTTGGTGTAATTATTTGGGATCCGTCTAAACATGCTTTGCACATCTGGAGACATTTTTGGCCATGACCGCTTTCTAGAAAGTCAAACTGGATGAGGAGATGTTTGAATTTGGCTTGCTTTAAGCTTTTATAAATCTTCATCTGGTTATTGTATCCATCCTTTTTCTCCTAATCTACAAATCAGTTTGTTTGTTAGGTTAGAAAAAATCTCAAACAAAGAAAAAGTTTCAAAAAGAAGTATTTTTTGGTAAAACAAGTAATAATTGTTTTGCTAAAAAGATTGTTGCATCACAGACGCTGACAGGGGCTTTAACCACTGCTGGAAATGCCTCTACTGTCAAAAAAGCAAGTGAACACATCTAAGAAAAACCTGCTTAGATAGCATCACCAGCATCGCCTGATCTAAGTTCTTCGACTGCTCATAGACCCCCTAACAAATAACTAATAAACTCTAATAAACTTTAATCTTTATGTTGTTGGAGAAAAATAATATTTGAATAAGGGCATAAAAAGGGCTGCTCAGTGGGTAGCACTGCTGCCTTGCAGCAAGAAGGTTGCGGGTTTGATTTCAGGCCAGGGGTCTGTCTGCATGGAGTTTGCATGTTCTCCCCGAGCATGCGTGGGTTCTCCCTGGGTACTCCGGCTTCCTCCAATAGTCCAAAAACATGACGTTTAGGTTAATTAGCTTCTCTAAATTCTCCTTATGTTGGCTTGAATGGTTGTTTGTCTCTGCGTTGCCCTGTGATGGACTGGCGACCTGCCCAGGGTGTACCCCGCCTCTCACCCGAAGAGAGTTGGAGGCACCAGCACCCCTTGCGACCCCGCTTGGGATAAACGTGACAGAAAATGGATGGATGGATGGATGGATGGGCACTTAAAAATCCAAATGCTTCTACAAATCTAAACTAAAAACACAAACATTCTTTGCTCATTAAACATACCTCTTTAGATTAGCTCAAGGTTTTATAATACCTTTAGCCTTTAGACCTAATCAAAACTTGGAAGGAATAGTTATTCATATTGATCAAATTTTCTCCAAAAAATGCTTTGCAACATATCTAGTATCCTTTGGGATAAATCAGTCTGAAGAAATAAGAGAGCAAGAAGAGAAAACATGATGATAGATGATTTAAAGCTAAAATCATGAGGGTTTCTTTGAAGCAAGGCCAGCTTCAGCTCCTAATCCTCTCAGACTCCGATGGGTTTCATCTCTGACTTCTACAGAAACCGTCAGACCGGAAAAATACACATCAATAGACATGTTTCTCAGTAATCTTGGCATCAATGTTGAGTCAGTAAAGGGATTTCAACTTTTTTTTTCCTTCTTCGAATTGGAGCACTGAACTGAATGTGGAAACTTGCCTTTCAAAGCCTTCACTACTAGATTTAATGGAAATGACTGATAAAATTTCAGTCATTTAAATGTAATTAATGAGAAGTCGGAAGTACTGCAGACAGAAGTGGGTATAAAATATAGATAAAGATTGGTGGTCAAAGTCAGTATCATTCTTGACACCTGAATGGGACTCAAAAGAGACTTTTTTATATGGCAAATGTGTCTAATAAAATACAAACTCCTTAATTCTCACAAATAACTCCGTTGCACTGATTTTATTTAGGGGTGTTCAAATAAAAAGGTGTTTGACATTTTTGTTTAAAAAAAAAAAAAAAATCATTTAACAATTAAACCCAGCCTTGCAATGGTGCAAACAAATCTCATTAAAAAACAAACTTCCATCATAATCTCCTTACCTCCAGCAGGTGGACCAGTGAAGCCTCCGATGCTCCTGAACAGCATGAAGAGACCCAGTCCGCTGTCAAAGCCCTCCAAGCTCACAATGTCCACAATGGTGGTAACATGAATGGAGACCACGCAGCCAAACAGGAAGCCATAGAGCGACGCAAAGACCAGGATGGACCAGTAGTTGGAACTGACCGGCAGCAGAAGCAGAACGATGCCGAGCAGAATGGCTACCGTGGGGAGAAGCTGCAGGTTCCTCAGAAACCTCATTTTAGCGAGCCAGCCGCAAAACAACCTGCCTAAGAGGTCTGCAACAGCAATGACAGAGAGAATAAAGGCTGGCCAGTACTGGTCTATCCCCAAACTGTTGGCAAAGGGGACCAGAAAGAGAGTCGGGATGAAAAACCCTGCCGCTGCAAAGATTGCAAACAATATATAGAGAAGAAGTTCAGGTTTCTTCAGCAGGGAACACTGGAAGGTTGGCTTCCTCTTTGATGGCAGTGCTTCTGCACTTCCTTTGCTGTTTTTCTGTGCAGCACTCTCCAGAGGTCTCATGAGTGCAGCGCACACACACAGGTTTAACTGGAGGCCTCCAATGATGAGCAAAGCGCCCTGCCAGCTGTACGTCTCTATGAGCCACTTAAATAGAGGACTGAAACAAATGGCAAAGACGCACTCCCCTGAGCTGGCGACGGCATAGGCGATAGGGCGCCACCGCAAGAAGTAGTGATTTACCATGCTGATGGCAGGAATCCATGACAATGATATGCCTGTACCTGGAAGAAGAAGAATGGGGAGAAAAAAGTTGTATCTCTGGATAAAGAAAACACCAGACTTAGCCGATAAAAATCACCTGACCCTGAGCACATTAGTAGAACGACAGGGTTTTCAGAGAAAAATATCTGATGATCCAAAAAAGTGCAACGACCTGGTGACTTAAACGGCCGCAACTGCAAGAAAATAATTCTGTCCCAGAATTCAGTCTCTAACATTTTCTAAATAAAATGACATAAAACGTAGCCCAAGTTTGATGCTCCTGACAGTCTCTCAATTACTCTAAGTTGTAGTTTTCACAAAAGTTAAAGAATATTGTGTTATAAACATTATAAGAAAAAGCATTACATAATAATGGGTAAAAAAAAAAGGGTTCATAACAAGAAACGTTAAAGCTTGCTGTAGCTAATAAGACATCAGAGACTTTATGCAGTGAAACTGGAAAAATAGACACTTATTAAATAAGAGCGCTGGTTATATTTACTGATGCCTAGATTAATCTAGTGGGCAAAGCCCATGTTAGAATATATTAGTTTTAAACAAACCTTTGGCTAGTTTAATGAAATCCATTACAATCACTTCAAAAATTTTTACTAAAGCTTCTTTTAAATGTGTACTTTAATTTTAACAATCAGAATCTTTATTTATCGTCTGTAGTTTCACGCAGGTAGAAAGTATTCTGCACAGTTCAGTCAAACCTAACCCTCATTTAATGAGGCCTATACGACTTTAACATATACATCAATATGGCTTCATATAAAAAGGACTGTTTACATTTAACCAAATAGCTGTGGAAGCAGATGTATGCTTTTGGTTAGCTTTAGGCGACTTTACATGGATAAAAATGAATATTGAATTTCAGAAGTGTTGCAGTAGGAGGATATTGTGACAGAAATATAAATATTCCAACTTAAAAACACAGTTATTGCTCACTGTTGTTCATGGAATTTACACTATATGTGAAGGTGGGAAAGAAGCTGGTAGAAAATCAGCTCCTATGTGTGACAATGCTGTTTGTTCTATTTAATCAGATTAATAGTGATTAATTGATTACTGAAATCATTCTCAACTAATTTAGTAATCAACTAATGGTTAGCTGAATTGCAAAGACTCCATAATATGTGTTTAGCCGACAGAGAAACCCACCTTAAACAGCAATTATACCAAAATTGTACAAATTTTGACCAAAATTGTCAAACAATATGTAAACATTTTGCATTTAAGATAACAAACTTCTTCCTCTGAAAATATGCTCAATTCTGACTTCCTCAAGAGGAAAAGCTTTAGTTAACCTTGTTTGATTTGGTAACAAATCATCTTTAAGGACCCTTTTGCAATCCGATTATTAATTATTTAATAAAAAAAATCAACAGATTATTCATTTTGCTAAATATCAATTAGTTGCAGCCCTAGTTCTTTAATTCATCTGAAACTGTTGTTTTGTTTTTCTTTAAGGGGAAAGTAGGCAGAAGGATGCTTTTATATGGTTGCATATGTTGAATCTGTGGAAGTGTTCACGGTGAAGACTAGGTGCAGTTGTTTGGCCACATGAGAATGGATTTTTTTTCCACTGCTGAATCAATGTTTTAGAACTAAGGTTTGGTTTTTTTTAAAAAGACCCTTATCCTTGCTTACGGAGTCTTTACAAGGTTGCCACAGAATCTATCCAGTGCTGTTTAGGAACTTCTCTCGCCGTCAAATAAAACTGAGTTTATAGAAACGTTTCCTTGTTTAGGTCTTACAGGGTCAAAATAATTTAGGCCGACGTTCTTGTAATCTTATTCATAAATTCTTAATTTTCTTTTTAGAGAAAAACACAGTGGTTTGGCTCAGGATTTTTACCTATTCTAACCCTAGTTAAATGCATAGAAGAACTGAATGCATGGATTTGTCAGACATTTTTTCTTCAGCTGAATCAAAAAATAAAACTGAAGTAATTGAATTTGGACCAAAGGAAAAGTGTTCAATAGTTCGCTGATCTAAAGTTAATACAGCTGGAAACAACCAGTCAGGCTCAGAATCTGGGTGTAGTGATGGACTCAGACCTTAACCTTTAGAGACTCATAAAGACAGAAACTAAGTCATCCTTCTAGCCCATAAATAACATTCCCATGATTAAAAGATGGTTGTCTCAGCAGGACATGGAAGACACTAATTTGTGTGCTTATCTTCAGTAGAATTGAAAACTGCAGCGTTGTCTTCACTCTATAAAAGATCAATCTGACAGATGCAGCTGATCAAAAATACTGCGTCCTCACTAAAACTGAGAAAATGGAGCACATCATCCTAGTTCTAAAGTTGTTACACATATATCTCAGAAAAAAAATACATTAAAATACAGTATATCTTTTATATTATACATCACTGGAGAGCTTAGCAGATCAGTTGTCAGTGTATCAACCACCTAGACCTCTCAGGTCTTTTGGCTCAAGTCTACTCTTCATACCCAGAACCAGAACCAAACATGGAGACTCAGTGTTTAGTTTTTAAGTGCCACTAAACTGGAACAGAAGACTGTAAAAGTGCTGAAAACCCAAAGTTGCTTTCAGGAACAAATCTATTGGTTTAGTGTGGCCTTTGGCTGTGCCATCTAAACATTATTATTTTAAGTTTTTAGTCCACCTTTTTATTTTATTTTATAACAATTTATTCTATTACTCATTTTTATAAACATAATCGTAATCATTTAATTGCAATTTTTAAATTGATATTTAGTAATTATGCCGCTGCCATCAAGTTTTCTCTGTTTTTTGCTCATGTTTTTTTCATGTACAGCATTTTGAATTGTCTTACTCCTGAAATGTGCTTTTAACAAACTTGACTGGCCATATAAAAATAAATATTTTCATTTTATAAGTCAGAATAACATGATAGATTAAATAAATAGGGAAACATGAGACTGTAAACGCAGTGAATTCTTGCAGCAGAACTGCACAACAACTGTCAAAAACAGGACATATCACAAGTGAGGCTTTGAATAAGCTGGGAAATTTTAAGATTTTAATTAAATAATTTAAGTAAAATACCATCAGAAAGTCCACACTGCCAAGTCTATTTTTTTTTTATCATGTCCACCCACCTTGCAGGAAACCCATACTGAAGTAGAGCCAAGGCAGACTGAGGTCCAAGGATGCCAGCAACATGCCCAAAGTGCATAGAAGACCTCCTAAAATGATGACCACTCTCTGAGAAAACTGTAAAGTCAGAGCACTGGCTACTGGACCTGGTGGACAAAAAAAAAAAAAAAATGCAACAACAAAAAAGAAAAACCTTAAAAACATAGCTGGGTTTAAAGTAAGGAGACGATAAACAGATTATACACTCACCTCCTATGTGAAACATGGCAATAGTTATGGAGGAAACCCAAGAGGTAGTGCTGGTTGAGACTCCAAAGTGATTCTGGATTTCAAGGAAGAAGTGGCCAAAGTTTTTGAGGACAGCTCCGGTAAGGCCCATAACGAGAAAGGCTGACGCCACCACCACCCAGCCGTACCCCCCGTCAGGAGGTCCCCTTCCTCTGGGCTTCATCTCCAACTGCTCAGTGGGCTTCTCCTCCAGCTGCAGCTCGGAGGCTGTCATTTAAGAATCACCCAAGCATATACAAGTCATGAAAGTCAAACATATAGCAGTGAATGTGCACATTCTGTCTTTACCAAAAACCTTTTAAGAACAGCAAAAAAAAGGGAAAAACATGGATGCTTTGAATAAAAAAAGAAAAACAAAACACAATCAAGCTTTGGCCATTTTGATTTCTCAAAATATACACAAATATACAAATACATTACGTAAAATAACCAGTTGAACTGGTTAACAGCTACATTTTTAAAACATGCTCGACTGGTTTCTTTAAGTCAGATGCACTATGTACACCACAACTATTCAAGAAGGATGAACTGAGAAAAAGGACGTTGGAAGGTACTTCCTATGTCTCTGGCCGAGTATATATGTTAGAGCATTCTTAAAGGGTTTATATAGTTTACTTTAACAATAACAGACATAGATAGCTCGATTATTAAATAGGAGAAAGCATGGGAATATCAATAAAGTAGTAGTGATGGAAACGACTGTGCAGAGAAGAGGCAAATTCTGCCTTAAAGGCTCAAATTAGGCTACTAATTGTTTCTTTTTGTTGTTTTTATTGTTTTTTGCATCAGCTGCGTATGTGTACACCACATAAATATCCTCTTTTTGTTTTAGATGTGGTATTGTGGAAGGGACATTCCTCCACCCAACCATTCTAAACTGCAGGGGTCATGCTAAAAAGTGTTTTCAATTTGATCAAACATCCATATGGGCTTAGTGTTCAATTCTAACCTAGAGTCAAATCATGCTAAGATGCTAAACAAAGTAATTTTGGCAATTGCTAAAAAGTGTTTTATGCCATCCTTACAATTAAGATATGGCTTTGTGAAACTAATACATTGCAAAAACGTATCTAGAAATAGGAAAAATGTCCTTAATTTAGTGTATTTACCCTTAATTTGAGTAGGTAAATAAGATGATTTGCCAATGGAATGAGTATTTTTACTCATAATATGACCTTGAAGTAATAAAAAAAATATATATTTTTTTATTTTAAATGTAAATTGTCTTGTTTCATTGGCAAAGTGTCTCACTACCTGCTCAATTCAAGAAAAAATGCACTTATTTGAAGAAAAAAATTACTTATCTAGATTTCAAATGTAACTTTGGTACCCTAAAGAAAATATCTAATTGGATGTAGAACAAAAGTAAGACCTTTTATAAAAGCTGGCAATGATTATTAAGGTTTATACAAAACCTACCAGCACATTGAATTCACTAACCTCCCTGTATTTGAGCTAGACTCCACTGGGTGCTGATACATTTGCTAAATGTCAATTCAGTTCCATGTGTGTCCTATTTAAGTGATAATCCTCTTGATCCTGAGCTGAACAAGTCTTGTCAGTCAATAATTGTGACCTTTTTTGTCAGTAATTCAAAATAAAAAATTTGAAAGGCAAAGGAAAAAAGGTTAGATAGCTGGATCTGGAAAGTAAAGACTGAGTCCATGTTGTGAATTTCAGGTTGGGCTCAGTAGGGGGTTCTAGAGTGCAGACAGATGAACTTCTCTATCCCATGATGTTTGACATTAGGACACCAACTCTAAACCAGATGAGATTTTCATTGTTGGGGTTGAATTTCTCATCAGTCAGCTGAGACATAATATGATCTGTGTCGTTTATATTTTTGTCCATTTTCTACTAAATAGAAAAAAAAATGACCTGGTTTACCCATAATCTTTTTTTCTGTTTTAATCTGCTCAATTTCAATCAGGATATAAAGCTGAATAGAGCTGTAGGTAAATAAACAAACAAGAAGCGGATGGCTGGAAAGACAGATGTTTATCAAATGTCTCTCTTTGGATTTTTTTTCTTTGCAAAAACTTAAGAGCCCTGACAGATAAATAAAATGAGATCGTGTAAAATGTCAAATCTGAAGCAAAAACAGTAACCCTCATGTCACTTTTTTCTTTCCTTTTCATCTCACGGCTGCATAAACTAAACCTGAAGAACAACTAGGCTATAATGGCCCAACAAACATGCCGAGGACCAGAAAGCAAAGAATAAAACGCATCAACTCACAATCCTTCTACGATGTTTTCTGTCCTCGATCCTCGACATTTGTTATCCCTCAAAGGAGCGCACGCCTACAGCGGAGCTCCTTTTATTCTGCGCAGTCAGATTCACTCCCCGTTCAATTACCGTGCGCATTTACTCCAGAATCTACGGTACGCTCATTTTTTAACCCCCCTGTAAAAGAAAACAACAAAAAGAAAACCTATGAAATTAGACGCATGCTCTAATTTCATACCTTCTTAACATATACAATACAGAAAATTAATTTGCAATTAACTACGTAAATTATATTTGATTTTCTTACGGAAATAAGAGCAGCGAAGGCTCCGACCTTTCTCAACATAAACGTTTACAGTATTTATGTTGCTTGAAAACAATTGAATTAATAAATAAACAGAAACTGTTCGCTAAATATATCGAGAATAGCAGAATTACTCTTTTTTTGAAAGAAAACCCAACGTCTGACAGCAGGGATAAAAATAATCCGGACTAAACGTCACTTCCGGTTTATGTTTGTTGGAGAAAATCTGATTCTTTCACTTATTCATAATTGCGTCAAGAATTTCAAGAAACTGGTCCTAAAGTTGTTTATTTCGAGTTAGTCGATAAAATAAAGTGGCTGGAAACAAATCAGATTAAACTGTAACCTTGTGTACATGAAAACAATTAATCACGTGTCTATATCTTATATCGTGTTTGTTTTTTCCAGTTAAGAAAGGGTTATAAGTATTTCTACATTAAAAAACTGCTCTAAAATAAAAATATATGAAATAGTAAGCCAAACCTTTGAGACCTGAAAAGGTATTAAAAATAAAAAGCTGGGAAATTAAAAGTTATCTCTTTTTTTAAATAACTATTTACAGTCAATCTGCACTGTAAGTAGTTTATTTATTTTTTTGTCTCTTTTTTGGCATCCAGATATGTGACTTTATTATTAATTCCATGCATCAATCCATCTTCTCCCACCTATTCTGTCAGGGTTGCGGTGGGGCCGATGCCCATCTCCGGGAGTCTATGGGTGAAAGGCAGGGTACACCCTGGACAGGTCGCCAGTGTATTATTTCAAAGTTTGTTAAATAATTTCTCCCCAGAAAAGTGTTTTACTTCTTTCAAACATATTCATGGTTAATGCCCTGTTCTTATACAGCACTGTATGAAGTCCAGGGACTCTGAAGCTCTTTACACTACTGTCAGTTCAATTCAGTTTGATTTATTAATATAGCGGCAATTCACAACACATGTCCACCCAAGGCACTTTACAGAGACAGTTTAAAGTTTTCTATCTAAGGAAAAGGATTGCATCGACTCATTGACTGGACAGGAATCAATCACACCAAGCATGCTTGTAGCAACAGTGGAGAGAAAAACTTCCTTTTAACAAGAAAAAACTTCCAGCAGAACCAGGTTCGGTGTGAGCGACCATCTGTCGAGGTCTAATGGAATTCAAGGAGACAGAAGTAGAGATACAGAAAGAAGCAGAGATGCAAATGCTAAATGTCAACCAGCTTCACAGACGGCCCCGTCCAGGAAAGACACAGGCAGGCGGATGAGCTTTGAGCCAGCTCCCATGTCACTGGGATGAGGATGAAAGAGAGCAAATACAGTTAGTCACAGTCAGAGAAACAGAACTACACTGAAAAAACAGGCCAAGCTTCAAAATATATAAACAAAGGTGTCGATGGCAGCAGTCCAGCTGATATGTCTCTCCCGGATGGCATCACAGCCAAACAGGAACAGACCAGATGAAGCTACTATGATGAGAAAAAGGACAGTATAAAGTTAGAGGTTGAACTAACAAATACTGCAGAATGGGAGAATAGAGATAGAATGAAGCAGAATGATAAAAAGCAGTCTAAGCCTATAGCAACATTGGCTTAGACTGCTATAGGCAGGTTTGACTGGCAGTTTCATAACTGGATTTCAGAGTTTATGTAGTCTATATTTCCATAACCTTTATGGTTAAAACAAACAAAAAAATAAATAAGTACATACTGAAAGATCTAACATTTTGGTTTAAAGTTGACATTGGAAAGCTTCGCAGTAAAAGTAGAAGGTATCAAATTTTTAACATGATTCTCCTGCAGTTTTCAAACAACTAAAGTATCTGCAGCTTTTCCTCAATAATAGGGTTGTTCCTACCAATGAGCATTGGTAAACGTGTAAAAGTCTGCCGTCATACATAATGTATGTTAACTAACAGCAGCGATGTATATTGCAAGACACATGAGAGATCCTTTAAACCTTAAACTTATGAGAAGGACAGTAGATATATAGGAACAATCTGAAGTCCTTCAAGTATTAGAAATAGGCTGGTTTAATGGTTATCCAGAGTTGGGTTCATTGTAAATTAATGTTATCTAAACAACAAATACTGTAGTAAAAACTGCTACCAGTCATGAATTGAGCTGAATGACAGAGAAGCAGAAAAATGTAGGATTTTCAGTTGTGGTCTTTCTGCAGATATTTTAGATATTAGACTCACTAAAGATTTCCCTGTTAAAATCCTTGTCAATTTCAGGGGCAGCAGTGGAAATCACCAAGGATGAGACCTGGTGGCTTCAAAATTCTTTCAGTTATGAGTCTTAGAGGCCACTTTTTTCATCCAAGACCTTCAAAGCAGATATTTGTTTTCGTTTCAGAGATTGATATATGCTCGATGTTCGCTTCTTATTTTTTCATGTTCGTTTTTTTCCCCCTTCTTCATTTTGTTACATTTTGTTCGCTTTTTTTGTTTCAAATCTTTGACACTAATCCAAAAAGGGGGAGTGGTATCATATGTAAGTGTATAGGAACATGCTGTACGGCATTCACCACATATGTACCCGTTATGAAACAGGATAATGTACAGTTTCATAACTAAGTTTTACAGTTTTCCAGTAAAAACTATGTTTATACATGCTTTTTGGTCATATAACCCCAATTCTGATATAACATTGTTGGTTTGCAGTTGACTCGCAAAGTTATTTAACGTGTTTACAATTTCCAAAACAGAAAAAGTATCTACAGCTTAAGCAATCTTTAACACACAGCTTGTTATATATAAATCCACAGCAGTAATATACAATGCAAGATTCAAAAACCTACAAGGATAACAGAATTAAGCAGTGATTAAAAACATCAAATTCATACAGGTGTGCATCGCAGAGAACATGACCAGGTCTACAAACACACCAGACTGCACAAAAAAAAAAAAAAAAAAAAAAACACCTTAGCAGTGTCTTTATATTTTCCAGAGACTGAAAAGGAAAAACAAGCCTCATTGATCATGACACGATTCTAAATGGACAATTGAGCGCATCTTGGTATCTTGACATATTGCATTAGTGTGCCGTCTGGCAGTTGTTCTGCTGTCGGCAAGGAAAACCCTGCAAAGAAATTGTGAGGATGGCAGAACAGATAACCGTTGACCCGCTTCCTGCCTCATTTATAGAGAGCTGCACCAGAAAAGGCCACAAACATCACATTAGACCCCTCCCGCCAAATGCCTATGCTTATGTTGGGTAAGTGAATGCAGAACATCCAGACCATGGACAAGCTTTTCTTCCCCCTCAGGCAACCAGTACTATAAACTCTCTTCACAAGCCGCTCTGCATTCCACCCGTCAACAACCCAGATGGACAACATGAAGTGAATGCACATACACTTTTGAAAATCCAATTTTAATGACACCTAGCACTTGATGTCTGACAGGATCATGTTTGATGGTTTTTGAGTTTGGAGCTTAATTTAAAGAAGCATCCTGATTCATGGAGAACTTTTGTATGTTAAAATAATTCAACAGAAGCCACATAAGCAAATCACATCTGTTTTTTGTTAGAAACTAATATCACCACTAACAGAGTTAAGGTCTCATTGTTTTTTTTTTCTCCACAGAGTAATCATTGTCTGCTTAAATGAAGGGCCTTTAAGCAGACAATTTAAGTCATGGTCTTAAATCAATTCATCCATCGTCTTCTGCTTAGTCCTGGTTCGGGTCACGCTGGTGCCAGTGCCTATCTCCGGCAGTCAATGGGCAACTGGTGAGGTACACCCAAGACATGTGGGCAGTCTGTCGCAGGGCAACACAGAGACACAAAGACGCGCAACCATGCACACACAGTCACATGTAAGGACAATTTAGAGAAACCAATTAACCTAACAGTCATGTTTTTGGACTGTGGGATGAAGCCGGAGTACCTGGAGAGAACCCACGCATGCACAGGGAGAACATGCAATCTCCATGCAGAAAGACCCCAGGCCTGGAATCGAACCAGGAACCTTTGTGCAGCCAGAACCTTCAAGGCAGCAGTGGAACCCACTGCACTACCATGCAGCCCCAATTCAATTCAACATACTTTATTAATCCCAAAGAGAAATTAAATATTGCAGAAGCTAATGGACATTTTTTCAGTTTGAAGTAATAGGTGTTGAGCGCTTTAGGCAGAAATTGATCTCTTTATTGCTGTTATATAGCTAAGTCCAGATACATCCTGTTATTACATGCACATGACAGTTTCGCTTAGGGCAGTGTACGTCTGCAAATGCATGGGATGTCAAATTTATGGTGAAAATGTGTCTTTTCCTGTTCCCGTTATGTAAAATCTTTCCTTTACAAAAGTTAAAGCTAAGTTTAATTAAAACAAAACAAACAAAAATCGAAAATCATAACTATCCACTCCATTTCCTAGGAAGTAATGCTTTTCAACAAAATTATCAGATTTTTTCTGTAGAAGTATTAACAAAATATGGCTTGTTTTTTTTGAGCCAACAACTTGATCGCATGCGGCTCATTTGCACACGCTCATATATCAGTCCTTCATACATAACCCCGTTTTTTTTTTTTTTTTTACGTTTAACTCTGGATGAAATACTGCAGAAATGAAAAATAACACTTTTTTTTTTAGTATCTAATAAGGGGGAGAATTGGGATGGGTGTTTCGATATGATGCATGTCACGATACGATCATATATGATTACATATTGAAAACAAAAGCAGGACAATTGAAAGTTGTATCTGCATAAATATTGCCATTGGAAAAAAAGTATCTACATTGTTTTAAACCTGACCTTAACGGGCAGGAGGCTGAGTTTTTGATGACCTTAGAAAAAAATTTAAATCTCCAACAGAGAAAAGTAGTACAAACAATTTTAAGTGCCCCAACTACTGCCTAGAATGCAGTTTTAGAAAGTGTGAATATATGTATAGTTGTATGTACACATACACTATAACTGTGCATTATAAGCACTAAATATCGATGATAAAGATCCACATGAGAAAGCACAGACATTGTCTTTACACCATTTCTCATAATCACACCATTTGTTCGTTTTCCATTATTTTTTGAAAATGCTTAAAAGGTATAAAGGAGAATTTCCACAAATAAAAAAAAATTACATTCACAATCCTGTGCCCACTACCAGGAAGGAACAGCTGTTAAACGTGTGCGAGACTGAAAAACAGCTATTTTAAAACAGAGCGTGCACGAGGAGAAATGGGTTCATGCACGCTTTATTTAAAAGTTGCTGTTTGCATCGATCATACAAGCTTACTTTCCAAAAGAATTTGCAATTTCACCACTATGTCAGACTCGCCACCGGTAGGTGAAAATGGGGGGGCGAACATGTAGGACGGCCTTACGTAATCATATCATGAGAATGATTAACAATTAGGAGGACCACTTATTTTGATGATCCTCCCAGAAAAACAACATCCTCCACTAAACCATTAATGACCTATCACTTATTACAGTCTTTAGAGCAGTACATGGAAAAGTCTGTTTTGGATTAACTTCTTAAATAATATCTATACTTTTTTGTTTTAAATCTACTAAGTGAAATGTAAGACATGCTTCCCAACTGGAATTATGAGAAATTAGTTTCTAGTTAAAAAAAAAATAAAAATGTCTGTTCCATGAAATTTGTGTCTGTTTCAAAACATCAGCAATAAAAATAATAGAAGAAATATTTCGGATATATTAGGGGTATTTCTTTGGTACAAACCAATGAAAGTGTTGCAAATCTCTTAGCAGCTGGAAGACATAAAATCCTGAAATTGGTTACAGAAACATAATGCCATAAAACTAAGAGAAGACATGCTCAGAAATTGCTTCACAGATATGTTCTTTAATTACCATGCCACAACAAAAACTTGACAGATTTTTAAGATCACCTTTTTATGCACATACTTTACAATGGCAGTTGCTGGCACCTCAAATAGTGTTAATATTATTTAAATTTATAAAATTATAAAATCTTTCTGACATATGTACACAATGCTACAGCTATAATACAGTCAGTTAAACATATAAAAAATAAGCTATTAGTTCACTTCTTAGGTGACAGACGGGGACGTTGGAGCTAGCCCAGCTAGCTCCTTACATGCAGAGGCACATGCTCACACACTCACAGACACACAAATAATCACATAAAGAACTTGTTCACCACAAGCGTTTCTAGCTTTAGGTCTGGCAACAGTTTTGTCACAGTCTCTATTGTTGCTTCAAGTCTTCTTTTCAAACTTTGACCAAATACAGTTGCTCATTTTCAGCGGCATCCCCTTCAAATTTTTTTTAGCCGTCTGAGCATTTCCAACCAGCCAAAGGCCACTGTGCTGCTCCACATCAGAAAAGTGCCATGCTTGAAGGCACCTCGGCAGTAGATCCTCATTCTAAGTCTTGGCGCTTTAGAGCATGCAGGGGCAGATGATCCTTTCTTTGGTCTTCATACTTCAGCCACAATCTGGGCAGCAGCGTTTCTAATGTCTTGGGTTCAAAACAAGGTGGGCACTTTATTTTCAAAATTCCTCGTTGTCCCTGATGAGGTCGATGCGCAAAGCCAGCTCGTTAAAAGACGGACGTAGAGTTGGGTCTTTATCCCAACACTCCTCCATAATACTATATATCTAAGAGGAGCAAAAAGAAACAATGTTTTCAGCAGGGAACTGAAGGAAAACGGCTCATTAGCATTTACAAACACATCTGGACTTAGAGTAATCTGGAAACATTTACACTGTCAGCTTGTGTAGCATGACAAAGAGTAGCCCTTAAAGGATGTAGCTTTAGGCTGATTAATTTTTTAGATGAGAAAATAAATGCCACATTTCAAGAGGCTAAAATATCCCTAAAAAAATCAGGGAGTTAAAAGGAAGGATGACTAATACATCTAAACTGTTTATAGCAGTGGTGTAAACCAGTCTAATTGACCAACAGTTGGTACTACTTGGTGAAAGTCATTCAGTGCTGTGGGAGCTTTAGCTTTTAGAAAAATAAAAGCAAAATATATTTTTACCTCTGAAGGACAACCCAGGGGTTGAGGCAGCCTGCTGCCTGATTTGAGGAGCTCAATGAGGTGATAGACAATCAGCTGTCCCTGCTTGTCGTTACCCATCATTGACATGAAAACCTAAAAAATAAGAAGCACTTTTCAGAACAGAACAGTGACTTTGAGGGCAACAATGAAAGTATTTAACTTACAATAAATAGCAAAAGCATTTATGTAATTTCTTAAAGGTACTGTGGAGGATTTTTGTGATTTTTTTAAAACACCCTTCCTCTCCACTTACAAAAAAAAGGCGCCTGCACAACCCTGTATCTGCTCCCAAGATAGAATGTGCGAGAGCCCATTTCTCCTCATGGCTCATACAAGCTTACTGTGCCTGAACTTCCGCCCGAACCCCTAAAACCCTCAATCACTATATAGAGCGGGGACTATATAGTGAACTCATTTAACTGACTGTTTGACAGACAAGCACTGCTTTTTGCTCCCCGTTGGTCATGTAACTCCTCAATCGCGCGCTGCCTGCGCCATCTTTGTTATTAGTCGCCACTGTCGGGTAGCAACAGCCTATGGTGACAACAGGGCTGCTGTGATAGCAAATCCAATAATGCTTTGTGAGGAGAACTCTCTCTGCACAAAGCATTTCGGCATATATGTGCCTCTTCTGAGCCTTTCTTTTCTTCTCATACACTTCGTAGACACTTTTTCTCTTACGACCCTCAGCCATTTTCAGAGAACCGCGGTGAGAAAGGCGAGCTTCAATAACTAGCTGAAACCGTAGCTCACCACACATCAATGCCTCATATTGCGCATGCGCAGAAAAAGGGACAGCCTTATGTTAACATATCACCAGAATGATTGAAAAGTAGGAGGACCCATGATTCATCCGGAAATAAAAAAAACCATCCTCTATACCTTTAAGTTAGATTTCATCATACTATTACCCCAAACTTTAGTGCAGGGCTTTTTAAAGTGCAGCCCAGGTGCCATTTGTGGCCTTTTATTATAGGGTGGCCTTCTACTCAAAGTTGAAATTAGTCTAAATTTGCTAGAGATACAAGGGGTACACCAGCTAACATGCCTGCTGATTGATTGGCCCAGATTCCCTTAAATTAAGGTTGTTAGGCTGATATCTGTATGCGATACCGATCTTATCTGCTTCTGTAAATCTTCTTAGCTATTCCTTTAGAATTGACAGAGATGTGCCATTCAGTTACAAGTTTGAATTGTTCTATATGTACTGTTCAATACATCGTTTGCTATGAAAAAAAGAAGAGAAATCAATAATTGCCAAAATCAGAAATAATAGTTAAAGCTTTTTAAAGACATTGACATTAAACTGAAATCAGTGCGTCCATAGGAGACACACATAAAATAGACATAATCTTTACATGGGAGGCCTTTTAAAAGAGATACACATTCAAATCTGAAATGTAAATTGCATAGTGGTCATCTTTTATCATCCGTGATAATTAATTCAATCAGTTTTCCTGAACCAGCTACCCTGTGCCTCTTGAAGAACACAATCACAAAAGAAAAAGAGGTGGCCATTTATTATTTACAGTATAAAGAAAGAGCAGAAGATATGAGAGTTCTTTGCATTATTTATTCAGACTTGATTAGTGTTGAAAGTTATTCTGTGGGAACTGAGCCACGTGCTCAATAAGACATGAAGATAAGCTTCCTCTGCTGTCAGATTGATGGAAAGAGGTGCACGTATGGAAAGGCTTATCTTTAGTGGCGCTGTCACCCTACATGAATCAAACTAAAGCTCAGTCTTAATGCTCTCTGAATGTACACAATGTTCCCTAAAGTGCTAAAAGCCTTTATATCAGCTATTCAAGTGAACATCATGAGTTAAGTCTTCTCAGGTGAAAGAGAGTGCAAACCTCCACCCATCTCTCAGTCAGTGACTCACAAGCATTTAGCGAGACTCACATGTAAGAGCTTGCTTTTGCTACTTTACATAACATGACAAATTGTAGTCTGATGCCAGATACTGTGAACATCCTTCATATTTCCTATTGACCTACATGTCCTTTCAAGTCTTGAAGCTTGATACAAATTGTTTCATTACTTAAGAACACAGGAAATATTCTTCTATTCTCTCTCCAGAAACCTGTCTGAGTCCTTTTACCTGCTTTTACATGCATTTCAAATAAGCTTTTAATTTAACAGTTTCAGTTTCATGCAGATAGACAAACAAAGTCTATACCAATAAATAATTGTGAAGACTAATGCACAATATGGAATAATTGGAGAAAATAAACTCAATATAACTAAAATAAAGCAACATAGTAATTGAAGATACTGTAGATAGTTATTAAATTTATTTATTATTTATTGCTATGACCTAGCTAGACCGTTCATCCAGCTCTACCTCCATCGCATGAAAGAATCTCCCAAATACAATCCGGCTTTATCTTTTTCTTCCTTCGAAGGCCTTCCTTTTTCCTCAGAAACGTGTAAGACAGTTTCGCTTCTTCTGATTTTCGGCCCTTTTCAAAGTTTTTAGTGAGAAATAAGACTTCACTGGATACATACACACTAGAAGTGTGCAGCACAGCAAGAAAAACAACCAATAGATAAGATGCTCCCTCCAAAATCTGTAGCTAAAAGAAGCTACCTTTTTTTCTACCTGATTTTTTTGGAGTAATTTAGGTTTTGTTCCTTGAAATATTTGCTTCGATTTTATGAGAAGCTGCTTTTTTTAGTTAGTTTTTTTATAAGTTAAAGATGGCTTTTATTTATATCATCAAATATATACACGGATTTATATTTAGGAAAAAACAAATAATCATACTGCAGATTAAATATTTGTGTTTAAGCTGGTTCCTCTTGGATCCGCCATGCGCAGTGTTGTTTCTGACAGCCATCTTAGATTTAGTATCGAAGACGAAAACTATTATTAGTTTAAATCACATTTTAGTCATTACGATATCTGATAGTTTTAGTCGATTTAAACTCAAAAAGGTTTTAGTGTAGTTTAGTCAGTCACTTTTCATCTGGGTCTTTTCCCAAAAATAAACAGTATGCAATGAAATGTTTTCTTTGGATATAATTTACTTTTCTTTTGGTAGAAATTAAAGGTTTTGCAACACCGCTTGTGAGCTGGAAGAAATAAAATCTTGATAGACTAAAGGATTTTTTACCCTACCCTAGGCAGAGGATGATCAGCCACATATAGTTTATTAAGTAGCAAGAACAGGAAGAGCCATACTGCTGAGAGCGAACCATCAGTGTGGAGCGTGAAGCGCAGACTGTGAGCTAAGCACACAAAGACGCATTTCTGCACAAGCACAGCTGTAAGAGGAGAGTTTGTCAGTTGAGCAAGCAGTACCAGATAATTCTGGATTATTTTCATCCCTGCAGCTGCTGCCATGGTACAACTGTGATAATACAGATTGTGCACCGCTGCGCAAATAGGCGGCATGGGCAAACAGGGCGCAGCAGCACGGCTGCTACTGCTTAGCTGGTCTAACAGATTACGGCACAACTATGCATTTTAAACATCTGACCAACCACCTGCTAACATTTTTATTTAGTCTCACCAACGAAAACTCCCAGCCATGTTTCGTCATCAAAGACCCATGTTTAGCTCATCGGTTTTCGTTATCGTAATAAAAAAAAGGAGGATCAAAGAAATTATTTAATCATTGTGGACAAAAACAACATCGCTGATCAGATTAAATTCCTATGTAAGCAAAGCTCCTGGGGTGAGCTTCAACCTCAGCCTATCACCGTGACCATCCTATCTAACACCGAGGCAATAGCAGTGATGTTGCCCCAATATGGCTACCGGCTCACCCCTCTGCTTTCTTTCAAGGTTAGTTTTCTTTCTACTTTAAAACGTTATGAGCAAAAACATCAACTGGGTTAGGAGGCTTAATATAGTCCACAATAAAAGACATGTTTGAATTACTTACTGCAGGTGGACTGCAGTTTTTGTAACTGTGGGTGAAGAGCTCATACAGCACCACTCCAAAGCTCCAGACATCTGAGGCCACAGAGAACTTGCTCTCGGTCAACGACTCAGGGGAATACCTGGAAAACAAGCAGGCTTTACGTATTAACGCTATAAAACCAAAGAAATGTCTGAATAAGAAACAGAAAATAAATTGTGATGTGAATATGAAACAAGAATAATGCATCTGTTAATCATCAAGTTAAGTGTGTCAGGTTGTACACGTGTTGTATGTAATGTTCTAACCAGAATATGGGGCTCTCT